TAATTTATACTCCTTGGTATATCCTCTTAAATTATTATTTTTGATGGAGCTAAATCCGTATAAAAACATTTTGCAATCTCTTTCCAGGCATTCAAAATTTACGTAGTAGGATCATTTTTATTTTATGCATGCTCCAGTACGTACATACTCACAAGATGTATCATGTTTTTACCTGGTCATTGAAATATGCGGAGAAAATGTTTCAGTACCGTGCTATTATAGCAGTAAACACCCAGTACACGTAGGGCCGGATTAACGGTGGTTTAACCCCGGGTTTAACAGTTTCCAAATTATTGAAGGCGCACATATTTTTTTATTTTTTTTAATTACAAACTTTATAGACAAAATATTTAATTAATATGGAAAAAAAGTTTTACCATTGAAATGTACGCACGAAAATATGATATAATGTAAATATCATCCAATTATAATACAGATAGCAAAATATTATACATAACAAATCATTATTGAGCATAATTAATGTGAATGAATTTATTTTTAAACTCCCATAGAACACCAATATGCTGTAAGACATGACGTTCTCATGAAACGTCACCGTTTCGCCTCGTAGTCAAATAATAATGAAAACAACGTACCTATTTTAAAAAGTATTTATTGAAAATAAATATTATTTCTCATTTACATGTATTAAATTAATTAACTTATTTTCGATCAACAGTTGGTCAAAACAAGTTCACACAATTTTTGTTATCAATCGAAAAAGAAAAATTGAAGATTATTTACTTTGATTCGGTGATTGGTAGTGTTTGAAAATGTCATGAAATTTAAAATTATAAAATATTTCAAATGCACGATATAATATTAATTTTTTTTAAATACAATTTATTTGTACGTATAATTGTTATAACTTGCCTTCATAATTTAATAATTTAAGGGAAAACAATCACTAACTACTCATTAGTGATGGTTTTATTTTGGTATTATATATTTAAAATGGTGTTCAACATTATTTTTATTGAACAATTAACATACCAAAAAATATGAATGATTCAATATTATACGTTTATAATGAATGTTTACATTAGTGCACTGTAGTATTGTATATTAATATAGTATAATATACTTATCAATGTATCATTTTTTTTTTTTTTTTTTATTTAAATATATAAATATAAATTTGGTATGCCATATAGCCAGTTTTTAAAAGGAATATAATTTATTTTAGTTTAGTCAGTTTTATGTAATTAATTTGTTTCTATGTGATAGCCTATAAGGGATTGATAAATTATTTTCTAATAAATAAATCAATAATAATAATTATATTTTACATATCAAAAATAATTAAAGTATAAATATAATATGTATGTTTAATCATAATAATAGTACCATCATAATATATTATATAACATATTGTATGTCGATTATGTCGACGATAAGCCATTTCCTGGAATAAAAACCAAGTTTCACTACAATGCTATAAATAGTCTATATAAAAAGATCGAATATAGTAATAATAATTCGACCACGGTACTCATTCCATAATTATCAATGATTATACCTAGAACCAGAAATTTTAGATTATATAATTAATAATTTATAAATTACCATAATTGATATTTGTATTAGAAAAAAATAGAATATTTTACATTTCTGTGAAATATTTTATACTTCAAACACTAGTGATCGATGACTTATTCGTGATACAATCAAGAAAAATTAAGTTTTAAGTACTTTAAATAAGCAATGTTTGTACTTACATATTGTTTAAATATATACAAATTAATTATCATATTCCATTTATTTTAATTTGGAAAATTTGGGCGTATTTGAATATCTTACCTTGGTGTAAATATTCTTAAACCTAAATCTGAGTTAATACACACATCTCACTTTGTGGCCGTATATTATTTATGAATTACTACGGTATTATAGTTTTCATATAGACATAGCAGGTGGAAATCAGAGGGGAAGAATGCGTACCATGATTTAATTATTTTTGCAATATTACATAAACTACTTTATAGTAGTAACGCAAATATATGGTACAAGATTAAAGCTGTATTAAATTATCATTGAAATTATCCACTGAAGTGCGATTTTGATATCTTTTGAAGTAAAATTAATAAATGCCATATGAATTAATGGCATCGCATTTATAAAATCCATTTAAATTAAATTGGACGAAAGTATGAAAAAAAAAAAGAAAAGAAAACTCTTTTGAAATCGAAATTTTGAGTTGGTAGTTATTTATTTTCATAAGATCTGAACATATTGTGAAAACCAAACGTGATATTAACACGTCGCCAGGTTCTTTTTCGTAAGATTTGCATGTGTTTCGGGCAGTTGGTGTAGTAACGCTGTAATTTCATTTTATACAGCGTATAGTATATTGTTTCATACTTATCTATCGTCGAAGTTGCTTTATCGACGATAAATTTTTATAAAACAAATCGTTTTTATGTCGTACGCGATACAATTCCTATATGACGTTAAGAAACCTGTCGCACTGTTGATTATTTCGTAACAAGTAGGTTATAATTATTATATTATCAAAGTTATTGAGTTTTAGCGTTCTTGTATCGGAGATGCAGTTCATATTTTTTTCAAATTTACCACTTTTCACTTTTGAGTTCGCAAAACTGATGGGTTTTCGACAATGGCTACCACAATGGCTACTAGTGATCAAAATTACTTGTTGATATTTAAATAATAAAAGAAAAAAAAAATCGATGACATGCATCGACACTGGCTTGAATTAAACAACATTTTTTACTTTCGATGATTAATTAAATTCAGAATATTATTTTTTCATGACTTTTTTCGATAATTTATGAAAAAATATCTCATAGTGAATTAAAATATGCTAAAACACTAATGAGTATAGATAGGATTTTGATTACCAAAAAAAGTACTTAAAATGACCAAAAAAAAAAAAAAAAACAATATTGCCTTAGAAAATATAGAAAATTACCTAAAAATATAAAAAAAAATTCAAATTTTATTAAAAATTTTAACTAAAAAAATAATCACTGAAAATAAAAAATATTTCTTTAAAATCTATTTTTTGAGAAAAAAAGCGCGAAATAGTATAAATACTACAAAAATGACGCAAAAACAGGATAAAATTATGTTAAAAATAAAGTTGATTTTTGCTCTCGTAGAATGTTTTTCTTTTTTTAAGGTACATTTAGTACCAATTATATATTTTTAATATAGACGATAATATAATATAGATTTAATATAGACGGTTAATATTAGACGATGAATCTAAAATAAATGATAGGTTTTTCATAATAAATTATTAAATAATTAATTGTCCACACACATAATAATACAATAGTAATTTCAAAACACATATAATTTATTTCAAGCTAAGTAAAAAAATTAGAATATTTGAAACTTAATTTACGCTAATAATTATATTAAAAATTCTTCTGATTATTAATACTAGCTTATTCATAGCTTTTTAGCTTGTAACATGTTGATTATCCGTATAATAAATAATTCAAAACTGTAAAAGAATATTTTTAGAATATGGTATTTTGAAATATATTGTGTGATTATCAGTGAATTCTAGATTAAAAAAAAAATACAACAAGTTTAACTATAATTTATTAAAATTTAAACGAGATAGACGAAAGTTAAATATTTTTTTTATTAAATTGAGTAAATGTAAAGATTAAGTAAAATCATATTATGAAATACGTTTCAGAGACAAATCAAATTTAAACAATGTTCTTTTTCATGGAAAGTAAAATTAAGTTTGCCAACTATTACTTTAAAAACAAGTTTACGAGTATATCTTAATATTAAATAAAAATATTGAATTTAGTATTGTTTGTTTTTTTTGCTAAATCTTAGGTTAAAATAATTTTATTTACTTTTTTTTTTTTATTGACAGCTTACATCGTGTTATATAATAGAAACAAGGTACAGTATACATCATAGGCGTAAACTGGGGGTGCAAGAGGGGACGATTGTCCCTATAGAATAAATTAGGAGGGACAGTGCTCCCTCTGATATTTAACATACGTTACTTTGTTTTAAAATAAATACACTACAGCTGGTTATAGCTATTACTATAATTTTTTTTTTTTTAAATTTTAATTTTAAATGTTCGCTTATCTAACATAATGTTAGTTTAGAAAAAGCTTATTTTTATATTAAGTAAAGAAAAGTATCTTTTAATGCTGAATTTACATTTATTTTCTTAAAGGACAAATTGAGCTTAAAGTTTTCAAAAACATTTATTATTTATCGGATTAAGTAAGTATATTCAAAATGGTTTTTATTCTGTAAAACCGTAATTACTGATTGCAAAAAAAAAAAAAAAATTTCAAAACCATCAAATGTATTAAAAAATTGGTGTACTTAATTTAACGAAACGCACGTGATCTCCGTCGGAAATTATATGCATAATCTTTACTATTTTTGTAGAATTTAACTGGTAATCTTACATGTTAAAATCTAGAATAGGGTTTGAATTATTTCAAATAATTCCAGAAAACGTCAGATGCAAGAGCATGGAAGACTAGTGTAAAATGTTAATATTGATCATTGAATGTTGGCAGTACCCAGAATTCATCACTGGTGGATATGGAACAAGACCGTCCAACTCGAGGTCAAAATAAATCTTTTAGGATACTTATATCGCTAAAAACTCAGTGATGTCTCTGATTATGCTTATACTTTACGTATTTTTCTCATTTGCTGTACACCACATAAGTCCATAAACGCAGTTGAACCGATATTATTTTGAGACGTCCGAATCACACGAATGGAGCATTAACACTCTACGATTCTTAAAAACATCTAAGGGCTCTTAAGAACCCTTGTGAGTACATCTACTTGCGATTATGCTCGAAATTATATTACAAATGTTTCTTCCCTAGTACGTATGCGAACTTGCTTCGGCACCGTGCAGGGCGCTATGAATTTTCCCAAATATTATACGCGTGTTACGCAAAACAAACGCGTATCTATACAAGACTGGACAAACAATGTTTTTTATGTTTTTTTTTTTTTTTTTTTGTTTACAGCCAATACGTGTGGTGGTCATGCCTACAAGTAACGAAAAAATAAAAACAATCGCTGCCGAAATCGCGGAATAACGACTATACACACACACACACACACACACACACACACACACACACACACATACACGCACACACGCGAGTACACGAAACGCAGATGTCGCGGGACAGGAAAAACTATGAGGACACGGCGCAGGAAATACTGTCGAAGCTGATATGGATAGAGACGACGCTCAAGAAGAACGTGCTGGTGCCACCGACGGTGGTTTACGCGAACACCGTGACGGGTGGAGGACGGGACAAAATAACCGAAGACAACGGAGGTGGAGGCGGAGGTAACGCGGACGCGACGTTGCAGGTGATACGTCGGGTGAGCTCGCCGATGGACGTGAACGGCGCGGCGACGGTCGAGAGGATCGTGGAGAACGCCGAGCGGCTGGAGCGCTCACTCGAAGTGCTGGTGGAGGAGGCGCGGGACGACAGCGAGCGCCGGGCGGCCGCGTCCCAGCTGGCGGGCCGGTTGCGGTGGTTCCGCGAGGACCTGAACCGGTCGGACGGTCAGCTGGACGAGCTCTTGGTAGAGTACGATGGTTACCGGAAGGCTTACTACCGGCTCCGGCAGCCGTCCGAGCGCCGAGTGTCCTGCTGCGCGTCCACCAACGACGAGACGTTCGTGTCAACCGATGACGAGACGTTTGTGCCCACCGACGACGAGACGTTCGTGTCCACCGACCGCAGTCATCCGGGACCACCGCCGCCGCCACGTGGTATCCCGGGACGGGACGAAACGCTGCCGCGGAACAGCCCGGTCCGGGACGAGACGCCGCCACGGGACAGCCCGGTCAAGGACGAAACGCCACGTGAAGGTAACCCGGACCAGGACGACTACCACTTTACTGACCGGTCGCCGGACGCGCCGAACGGTGACGACGGTGTTACGGAGGCCACCCCCGACGTCCACGCGCATTGCCGTCGCCCGGACGCCAACGCACACGGTGGACTTTACAAGTGCCCGGGGCTGCTGGACGTGACCAAGTGCAACCACGGTTCCGAGGAGCTACGGTCGGAATGCACTTGTGGGACGGTGGATGAAAACGCAAATGATCCTGACGATTGGAAATCGCTGCTCAGGAGGTACTGTTGTTTTTGTTTGCCGATCGAGTGCAGTGCATCTCTGTACATGAAATGATCGATTCGAATACCACGCGAGAAAATCAAAACGAACGGGTTTTTTTTTTATCAAACTTTTCACAAACATATATTAAAAAAAAAAAAAAAAACAATCAGGTTTATAGCTAATTTTTTTTTTTTTTTTTTAACAGGTAACAGACGGTATAGAATATAATATTTTTACATACGGTATATTAATATTATATATAATAGCGTACGCGATATACAATATAAGTAGGTGGCGTCTACAAAAGATATTTTTTTTTTTTTTTTATGGTAACTTTACAAGATAGAACACATTTGGAAAAATATCAAAATAAAATCATGGTATTTTTACACAACATCGATGTCTAATTAGGTATTATAAAGTCTACAATATAAATTTAATGCAGAACGATATGATCAATTATTATTGGTTCGTCTATAGATACATTCAGTGACATCTAACATATTAACAATATAAATCAATTTGTGTTTAATAATGAAAACCACAATTCGAACGTTATACATCGATTTACAAACACGTTTACAAAATTATTTGGAATGTGTGTTTTTAATATAATAATATTATTGTTATTTTTATTATTATTATTGTTGTTAAAAGCTAAATTCCTTCAGTAATTAATATAACAGTGTGTTATTTAACCGTAAGAAGCTTAAAAGTACCTATACACCCAAGAGAATAATTTATACATATTTATAAAATAATATTACATAGACATATTTCAATCGAGTCACTAACGATTGTATTCCGTTCGGTCGAATTCTCTGTCACGTGGAAAGAATATATTTAAATAATGTTCAATGTTATTCGTATTAATACGAGTCAATAAAACACTGCTATTATAAAATGCTATACTATTGACATAAACAGTAATTATAATATCAATTAAGCGATATATTTTTTATCAATGAATTTTAAATTTTATAATTTTTTTATTTTTTTTTTTGCCAACACTTGTTGGCACCTGTTACTTATATATTTGATTATTATTATAGTAGAAAGTGAAATTTTTATTTGTGTTCTTTTATAATATACAAAAGGTCGTTTCGAACTTAAATAATTATAGGCAACAATATATAATAACGATATTATACAATAATACACACATACTCGTATATATATATATTATTATAGTCATATTTGACTTAGTATATTATTCGAATTGTATGGTATTTAAATTAATAATTATATAAATGAAAAAAATGATTTATTTGTATTGAAATGTATTAAAATCTTAATCAAACGAAATAAAAAATTATGATAATGATAATAATAAATGTGAATATTAAAACTACTGGTTAAAATTTATGATCATTTTTGTAGTAATCGGAAAACAAAATACATAAATAGTTATTTATGACTGGCAAAAATCTTTGCATTGATCCCAATAATTCAATAAAAATATATCAATAAATAAAGAATACATATAGATCTAAAAGTAGTAAGTAGTTTATTTGAGAATTATTTCCTATTGATTTTATAAAACCGTTAGTTACTACACATTTGTTTTGGGCTAACAAATTTGAATGTTTCATTCGATACCCAAATCAAATATCAAATATAAATTATCAAAAACAATATTGCGAAATTTGAGCATTACCTATAGAACAATGCAAAATAAATATAAAACTGATTTATCACATTTCAATAAAAAAAATTGTATAAACTCTACGCTCATTTTATTTCTATACTATATAATATTCATGGTTGTCTACATAATGAACTATTCTATGAAAAATGTATTTACAAGTTATATTATTTAATTACATATAATCTATTTATATTGTTATATTATAATATGCATGTGAAAACTATAACTTCTACTGATTATCAAAAAGTTAGTTTTAAGGTTTTCAAAATATTTGGTTTTTTTTTTTTTTGCTCATAGAAGTTTAAGTTACTCGTAAGTTACAACTTTACAAATGTCGAAGTAACATAGAATACCATGAGTATTAATGTTAATATCTCATGACCATTATCATTATTTTAATTCTCCACACAGCCTCAAACACAGGTGTAGGTATACTTTGGATAGTAATAAAAATAGTTAAGAAATGAGAGTTAATTGAGATTATATTAATTTAGTGTAACTTGTGACCTGATGGTATAAAGATTATGTTAGGCTATTACATTATGATATTTAAGCTTCTTTGATAGAAAATATTGAAATATTGAAATTTTTTGGTTTCTACAAGAAAACTTTTGAGGTTACATTTGGTTAGCAATGATAGAATATACTGAATTTATATTAGATAATATTACACTTTTATTAAAATCCATACGTATGGACTCCAATTCGACAAAGAATAATAAGGTAAGAAAGTAATGTCAAAATAAATGATAGTTAGTGTTTTTTTTTTTTTTTTATTCCCATTTGGTAGTGAAAATATTTATACGCTCCATGATCAAATCAAAATAATGTGTTTTGGCGTTGCGATATTTCACTAACATCGGCCTATTATAATAATATGATCATAGAAAAAATTAATATTATTTGAAAAAATTGATTACAAATATCAGGCTGATTGACACGTTATTTCTCAATACAAACCATTAATATATTTCTACCAATTATGTAAAAAATATAATTTAATCACAACGTGGTGTATAAAATTTAATCTTTTTTTTTAATTTTTTTTTTTTTTAAATTATTTTTTTATCTAAAAATTGTTCAATCACATTCAAATAACTGCCCGTCTGTTATTCAAATACGATAGAGATCTTCAACGTAACTTAATCAGACAATATAAAAATGTTTTAGATACTCTAATGATATATTTGGTTTTTTAAATTTTAACCGACTTATCCTTGAAACATTAAGAATATTCTTATATCTATCACTAGCCTAAATAAATTATAAGTATTATGTATTATGCTTGTTTCGAACAGAATTAAAATAAATTACAATATCCGTTTTGTAGCCTATTACAAGTTATCGACGGTCATAATATTACACTCTGGATAACAAACGTGTATGATATAATATATAACAGTGTAAGAAAACATTTTTCGTAAATAATTTAGATTGAAAAAATAATAATTATAATAATGATAAAAGTTATTTACAACAGTCATATGTAGAACTTAATTGAACTATATAAAAAAGAACGTTTCATAACATTTCCAAGGACTCGATAACCGAAGTCCTTGAGTCCGGATGTCAGCATCTTATTTTCCCATCACTGGCAACGTTGTAACGGACGCGTCCCTTTAGTGAATAATGGTTAGATCGGTTGTCTTCGAGTTCGGAGAATGATTTTCTTCTCCTCGACGAATTTCCCGGGCCGTCTTCACGGGAGTGTTTGGTGTTCGGTTCTTTCATGCTTATGAAACTCGTCTCTTTGAACCTACTGCAGATAATAATAATAATCAGTATTAAATAACATATATATTATACATATAGAATCTATATTATAGATACATGAAAATAAATCCTATTTTATCAGTAACCAAATATATCAAATCGATACGAGTTTGTAAATATAAGGATACAATTGTGATTGATAGCCCGTAAGTATATTAACTATGAGAAGAAATATATAGTTTTAATTTTAGAAATGATCGATATGATCGGGAAAAGTAATTCAGAAAATGTAATAGAATATGTCAATACTAATATAACTACAATGATTATCGGAAATCGATTAAAAATTAAAATCGAACATTTTTTAAGCTTATAGGAAATAATACAGACTGGTTTTCAAGTCTGAAAAAAGTATACCGGTAACTCTAGCGAAAAATTGTCAAATACTTATTTGCTATGAAACCGTATGATTAAGATCAATCGTTGTCGAAAAATGTTTCAGGTAAGAAAATGTTGCCAAAGCGAAAAAAAAAGTTATACACGAATTACGTCCCGTTATCATTATACAGTTTACAAACAACTAATTCGAATACAAAGATTCACCTCATACCGTTGTAAACTTACTTATAGTTTAATACCTTAATCGAATTGGTCTGTATTTTACCGCTTAAGTAATAGATTATAAGAGTATACCTATATAATATAACATATGGTTACACGACAAAAATAGTTTAAGTCAAATTATATACAAAGGATTCTCATGATTTCGCCAACTGCAAAATGCGTAAGTTTTACACCTTAGCCCTGTGCCCCAGAAAAACAAATTCTGCGGTACCATTGCCTTAATCCCTTTTCAGAAAGACACACGTGCAATGGCGAGCACTAATTTACGCGTGTGATTTTGGATGTGAATCCACCGGTATTCAGAGAAAACCGAGTCCACGGTATTCGTCAGGTACACGATTACGTCAAAGTGTCTCGGGTATTGTCTTACTTCCAGTGGTACGAGGACGCGGCCCCGTTGCTCCTAAGCATCATATTGTTGTCGTCGTACGCGTTGTCCCCTTCGTCGTCGTCGTCGTCGTCGTCGAACTGATTGGTGTCCGCTTCCAACACGATCTCTTCATCGTTGTTATCGTCCTCCTCCTCCTCTCCTTCTTCCTCCTCCTCGTCATTGTCTTCGTCGTCCGCGTTCTGATCTTCGTCGTCGTCGTCGTCCCTGTCGTGACGATTCAAAGCGTTAACCACGTTCGCGTCATCGTCGTACTCGTCATCGTTGCCCTCGTCGTCCCTGTCACCGTCACAAACGTCGTCGTCCCCGTCCCCATCGTCGTCGTCGCCACCACCGCCACCGTCCTCGTCGCAATAGTCGTGACGGCCGTCGTCCAACTTCACTGCTTCGCAGCCGCCCAAACGCTGACCGTAACGTTCTGCGTCTTTCATCAGCTCTGCGTCCACGCCCTCGAACAGGTCGTCCGCTGGCAGTGGCGTCACGTACTGCGGTTCTTCCTGCTGCTCGTCCTCTCGCTGCTGATGCCCGTCCTCCATCGTTCCGCCACCGCCACCGTCCACTTCCGACCCGTCGGCCTCGTCCGTCTGCAACGGGTGCGTCGCTCGGTACGGCAGCGGCAACGCGGCCCGGCCGATGGTCGGTTGCTTGAACTCCAGTATAACCGGATCCTGCGGACATAAATCCAAATTAATAACGTTATCGGTTTGTTTAAATCGGAGGCCAAGGGCCAATATACGCTCGATTGTTTTTGTTATAGTAGCACAGCGTACGCGTTTCCCGGAAACAATTATTTAGTATTTTTTTTTTCACTCACGACACATTTTATTGCGTTAGATATCTTAACAAATCGGAATATACGATCGCGCGCATGTTATGCGAATAAGATAGTACACGCAAAAGACTGTTCGATCCAGGGATACCGAAACCTCAATTTTCCAATTTGTTACACGGGATATTTTTCCCGAGAACGACGGTATTCGTAGGATTTAACAAATGTTTATAATATATGTTTATTTATATAACAAAAGTTATAATTTCTTATGGGTATTTTACCACGCAGAAATATCAAAAAGTAGAAACAGTTACTCTAACGTCGCACCAATAAATATGCCTATATTATTTAAAACCAAACTAAGATAACGCTTTGAATATCCAAGTCCCATTGAGCATTTCAAGTATCACCGATATATTTTCGATATCAAACGTTTGCTGTTAATATATTATTGATTATTTCGTGGTAAAGAGCATTTAAGTTTATTCCCTTCAACATAATACCCCATGACCTGCATAGTGTCAATTAATTTTTTGATTTAATTATTGCAGTATCTGCTCTGTAACATAAGTACACCGCAGCGTAAACAATGTACTTACTTGAATGAAAAGGCGAAGCTTATTTCGTATATACTCAAAGGTTGGCCTGTTCTGTGGACTTGTTTTCCAACAACTGCTCATTAACTTGTATACCGGTTCCGGGCAAATGCCAGGTCTAGACAAACGTCCACCTCTCATAACATAGTTCATAGTCTCTTTGTTCGTCATGCCAGTGTACGGCATCGATCCAAATGTCATGATTTCCCAAAATGTAATGCCATACGACCTTAAAACAGGTATAAAATTGAATAATTAATTTTGGTGTTATTCGAAATACTGAAGACAGTTTGACAACTTATCACGATTATTATTATTGTTATTTTAATTATTATTACCAATGAAGTTTTTAAATTTTTAAATCAAATTTTATGTTGACCAATAACATTTTAACGTGGGTTTTCAACGTTTTTATCTATATATATATATATATATATATATATATATATATAGATAAAATATATATATATATATATATATATATAAATAAGTATATATTTTGAATATATTTTATAACTCAAGACCCAACGAACCGATTTCGATAAAAATTTCAGGGCATATTAAAATTAATATTTAAATAGTTTCTGTGAAGTTTTTACGCTGTGCGATAAGTGTTTCCGGAGTTATGGTCTCTTAAGTGCACACCTATCGACATGGCCAAAAACAGTATACGTATCTTCGTCTCAGTTAAAGATAGCAATAACTCAAAAATATGCAGAATTGAGTTATCTATGTGATATTATTTGAAAAATTACGACGATTTCGATTCTATAACGCAATAACTTTTAGTTACATTATTCACCTCTAGAGATCGTTTATTTCATTCTAGAAATAGTAGTTTCATAATTTGAGTTATTGAAATCTTGAACTGAGGCGTCGATATGACAACAACAATTTTATTTTCCAGATAAATATTAATTGGTTTGAGATTACATGAGATTGTTTTTTATTCAATTTCAATTGTATGGATTTAAGTGTAAAAAATGCCACGACCAAGACGACAGAATATAGGGCGACGATCACGTAATTGTGTCGCCCAACAGTTTCATAGGAGATCTTAAAGTGAAAAGGCGCAATTATAACGAAATGTTGTTCAACAATTACGAAACGCCCGTCGAACTCCATCTGCAGGTCCGTCAACAAATCCAGCATCAAGACGAACGTCACGAATTTCGCTTCGTGCACAAATCATGAAATTTGCTGCGTTTTATTACGATAGTGAAATGGATTACAGTGAACATGGTATTATTGGTGGAATGACGGTGAGATGTCTACGTTGCACTGCAGCCAAATTTCCAGGTAAAACTGTTGGCATGTGTTGTGCTAACGGCAAAATGAAATTGCCAGCATTCGAATCTCCACCCGACCCACTGCACTCATTGACTTTTGGAACATTACCAACGTCCAAGTATTTTTTATCTCGCATTCAAGAATATAATACGCTATTTCAAATGGCTTCTTTGGGTGCAACGAAAGTTATGAGACAATTTTATGTCGACGTTCAATGTGATTACTTTATACGGACTATCTTTCGAAAAATGCAACCTGACTAGCAATTATTTTGACGTTTTCATGAATTCTGATCCAATTTCAAATTGTATTTTTCATATGTTACAGATTCAAGGTCAGATTTATCCAAATGTGTAGGGTTGATAATAAAGGATTTGGAAGAAAATTAATAATATTCTAAGAAAAATGATATGATTTTTATTGAATTTTTTTATTTTGGTGCTGTGAAGTGCACAGGTTCGACTATTAATTATTATAAAACTAACTCTAACTGCATGTATTGCTTTAATATATTGCTTTAGAGAAAGCAATAACTACACACGAACGAAGCCGGATTATTCAGCTAGTAGTACATAATATTATACATGTAGTATTTAATAATATTTTAATGATATAATTTTAAAATTTTAAATTTGTGGCCTCTTTAATGTTTTATTTTACTGTATTATCTTAATCATTTTAACTAATTTAAAATTTTGATAGAAATAAAGTTTATAATTTAACAACTTAACTATAAAAATTGTAGTTTATTTTTTTTAAATAATTTATATCTTGTCTAGTATTATATCTTTGAGTACTCTTAGCTTACTTAATAATATTCGTAATTTATAGTTTACTTTACAAGAATTTAAATTCAATAGTATGAAAGCACTTTTAACATTTGTATGATATTTCTTTCGTAAAGAAAGGAGGCAATATAAATGTATAAACCGTATTCAATATTCATAATAACATAGGAACTACTGTTAAAATTATTAGATTTTGATTTTTGTTAAATAAAAGGGTTTTGTACCAAACATCCGTTTTGGAATTGAATACGCCGTCAACCAATGACTCGGTAGGCATCCATTTAATAGGTAACATTGCTTGGCCATCTTTTCTGTAGTATTCGTTTCTAAAATTAAAAATAGCAACGGTTAACTATCAGACGAGTAAAATTCCTTATTCAGTGATATAACACATTTTTCACATTTCTCATCGTTACACATACCTGTACACATCTCTAGACATGCCGAAATCAGCAATTTTCGTTACTCTACCACGCCCTGTTGTGGACAATAAACAATTTCGGGCAGCAATGTCTCGGTGAATAAAATGAAGATGCTCCAAGTACACGCAACCTTTTGCGATGTCTAATGCCATTTTCAATAAATCTTTTAACCGTATAGGAATGATTCTGTGATTTTGTTGCTGAAAATTACAATACATTGAACAAATTAGTTTTCGTAGAACAAAAGAATTTCACTTGATCTATTTGTTTTTAAAAATAACAACACATCATCAAGTTCTAAAAAAAAAGAAATTTTTATCTAAAAGTGATAAAGTTAAATTTGTTGATTAATTTTCCATAGGGTTTGTTGAATGAAGTTAAATATTGATATATTTTTGAAAAAAATTATATACCATAACCATATAACATTTTCAAAAATAAAATATTTAAAACCTAGTAATTGTATATGTTTATAATTGTAGTTTCCGATTGAAAATATACTGAATAAAATAACTATACTTATAGTATGAATAGTTTTTGATTATAAATTGTAAATATGAAGGCAAAATAGACAGCCAAATGAAAATATTTCTTGATGAACACATTGATATATTAGTACATACCGCTGAAGGACGGTTTTTTCTCAAAAACTCTTTCAAGTCCCCACCGCTCAAAAGTTCAGTGACGATGAACCTATAGTTCTTTTCGAAAGTGATACCAATGAATTTCACGATATTTGGATGATCGAACTGACTCATTATAATTGCTTCGGTCAGGAAGTCACGTATACATGAGAGCTCGGCCCTCTTGATTCGTTGTCTTTTCTCTCTTTCTACTTCAGGATTTGGTGTGTTATCGTCGTCGAATTTCACCTCTACGTTAGTCATGTCTTTTTTCGGTTGCAGCGTCTGTAAAACAATACATTATAACCAGTTGCTGAATTACTGATACACTATTTACGACTTTAATGAAAACATATCCGATTCAATATCAATAAATTGTCATCGTGTTCAAATTACGTTATTATGACATATATCGAATACTGACCTTAATTGCGACTCGCATATCAGTCGTCGTTCCCGTTTTTCTGTAATAACCACGGTATACCACTCCGAAAGCTCCTTCACCAATGGATCTAGAAATTCCACGTAACATACATTATAAACTTTTCAAATCAAAGTTAATAGATTTCCATTCGACGTATATCTATTTTCTAGACTCAAAATCATATTTATAAAACCTGATTAATTATTTCATGCCATTCATTGCGATCCACGTATTATGATAATTAATATACAAATGTCAATTTTAACACAATATCTAATCATAGTAAAGCAATGTAAATTTTAAGAGGTTATATATATATATATATATATATTTTAAGAGATGTATAAATATTACTGAAGGATAGAATATTATTGATAAATAATATTTATAAAATAAAATAAATTATACCATAAAAATATGAAGTTAATTTTGTAAAAGACAAATTGGTGTGAAGGGAATGGGAAGGGGTGTCAAATGTTGCTTCTCTTGAACAGTATTGGTAGTTGGGACGGTACTGTTTTTACAATAAATTAATATACTACCACGTGGCATATTATGTGTAGAGTTTGTAGAATTTTCGACAATCAATAAAATTTAATATTATAAAAAAAATACTTAGTGTACCGTAAATAATAATAAATAATTGAATGACAAGTAAATTGATAAATTAAAAAATAAAATAATTTATTATAGTAACAAATTATTACTGAATTTGACTTCAGAGATTAATATTGAATTGCGTATAACTTACTTTTGTATTCTTAATTCATCTCTCGATATTCTTGGTAAATCATTTGTCGTCAATGTTCTCCCATTGAAATCATAACTAGGATTGATATCCGCATTACCATTTCTATTTCTTAATGCTACATTATAATTTAAAATTCCGTTATGAAGTATATTGACGTTTTCCTTGCGCTCTTTACGTTTTCGATAACTCCTGTCTGAAACCGTAACGCAATGACGATTACATTTAGTATCAAATAAATTCTAAGATGACTTACACATCCAAATTCCGAGGATCAAACATATGAGTACAACTGTGAATACACTTCCAGTGATCAAAAATATAATCTTTGTTGTTTCTGTAGATTGATCTATAATCATACAATAAGTATTACATATAAGATCATAGGCGCAATATTTTATCGGGATCTAAATGATTATTTCTGCATACTGTTGGTAATAATATAATTTAATTAAAACCATTTACAAAATAATCCCTATGTTCAATACCCTCGTGAATGTATAAGCCTTAAAATTATTGGGTAAAAGCCTTTTAAAATATCTTGTATAAGTATTTCTACTCTTTCCACAAATTAAATCCCTGAACCAATGTTTAACCATAAATAATTTCTTACGAATTTTCCACCTGTATAAAGCATGCTATAAGTAAAGTTTAAGTACAAGTAGTTTACGTTTTTGTTATATGTAATAATAAACTATGTTATAGAAAAAAAATTAGTCATAGTCTTAACTCTGATTTATAATTATTGTTCACGAAATAATTATCCGCGAAAACTGATGAAAACATGCACACGCTAATTACACTGATTTATGGTTATTATTTCGTTACACAAATTTTCACTTTCACTCAATCTATTATTCAATTTATTAAGATAAAAAAAAAAAAAAAAAAAATTAAATAAAATACCATAGCCAATCATGGTTAGATCCTTAAATATTTTTGATGTGAAACATCTAATGGCGCGGTACGGTAGTGAGACCGACTGAGGCGTGGTAACGCTCCACTCGCAGAAGTTAGGCGATTTCCTTTCTAAGCGCGCAATGTCGGCGTACCCATATAATATGTACACCCATATTGTTACGTATATGTATAACATGTTGTTTTAAACTAATATATATCATAATAATATATAATATACGTATGTCTTACATAAATATATATATGTGTAAATATTATTTTCTATTTAAATATGAGTGACAGTGAAAATATAACGAAAATATTGGAACGAGTTCACGACAATAATTGCCGTACCATGCGCCGTTCTTGGTCGTTTTCATAATTGAATGTATTTTTATTGCTTAATAATTATAACACGTTTACTATAAGCATACTATCTACTACCTGATATTTATTATATTTGTAATTATTTTAAAAATGCAAGAAGACCAAATGATAGACTTTTCATTAACTAGTAGTTAACTAAATATGTAATACTGTAATATAATTAATTTTTCGATAAAAGGGTTTTCCTCGTTCGTTGTTCTATAGGGTTTATTTTAAATAATTTTAAGTCTCCCCAGAATAATAACTCATAAGCCAAATACTAATAAGTAATTAATTATTTTATTCCTACTAATAAATACTTTATTAACTCAATGCTCTAAATGGACGCTTGTTATTGTTGAAGCGGTTGTAATAAAAATTATTACAAAAAGAAAATTGTTGATGTTTCACATCTGTCAGGCGTCCCGCGACGGATCATTTTACATTAATAACGTACTCAAAGTATTAAACTAGAAGAGCAATTTGAAAAACACTATATTTTATATCGGTGTGTTCAAGTACATTTATTTATTTTTTCATCTTATCCAGATGCATTTCTCTATCTATCGAACATAATTTGTACTAAAAGTCCATAAACTATTCCACTAGAGAGCGCCACTATTTATACATAATCTGTAATATTTGGGTCTAATTTCCAACAAACTTGTTGGTAAAAGTTTTGTTTCGAATCGCAAATCGTATGTCCTTAATCTAAATCGTTCATAAGAAAGTGTGTAATCTGAATTTAAATTTTAATTTGAAAAATTCATAAAATATAAAACGTACTGTACGCATAGTTTCAGAAAATCATACCGGTATATGTTGAACTAAAGTTTGGATAAATAACATTTTAAACTGAAAGTAATCGATGTCATTAATCGTGCGTTTTCTTTGACTTCATCAAACGAATATTACGTTGCTGGGTTAGTTATAAACTAACAACGCATCAATTTCGCCACAGCGTACACAGCGGATATTAATATTTATAAACATGATGGTAGATAAATGGTGGAGATTTACATTTTTTCATATGCATTTGCGACAGACTAAAAAATTTGCGACTGCGAATGTATATATATATATACATACAAAGTAATATCAACTTTATACGCACAATTAATATTCAAACTAATACGGTTTTTGTTTACCAAAAAAAGCATTGCACGAAACCCGCACATGTATTAAATAACACAGGTGTACTGACAATAAACGTGAGTAATGTGGATACCCTGAAATTCTGAATGCTTTGTTTTAAACAAAGACCGCAGCAACGAGGGTAAAATCATTTTTTTCGAAATCAAATTTCTAAATGTTATTTGTGGTACATAATATATCACGCGTATGTTTGGAACCGGCTCGGGTTGAATATTAACATTTTTTCCCCTCGTGCCGATAGGAAAATCATTCTCGTGCAAAAGGTATTACGTGAAATACCACTTATGTTTCAGTAGCTACTGAAATATTTGGAGGGCTAATCCGTCTACACGCCGGTGAGCACGTACGACGTTGAGATACATCTTTACTTGTGCCCCTCTTGCAGTAAATATATGTACGATCAACTTTTGATAGCTCGAAGTCCGAGGGCGAAAAAAATTCGACTAACTAAAATTTCGAGTTATAAAAAACTTAAATTAGTACGTTTCATAAAGTATTTTATATACTTTTTACATAGTTTTTAGTTTTTAAGTTTTTCAGAGTATGATTCTATATAAGAGTTTTTTGTGAATTTCCGAGTTTTCATTTAAGTATATCAAAATTACTTTTTTTGATTTCGCATTTTCCTATAAATTTAAGTAAATTTACTAGTTCATGCATTTTATACAATTTAGAGTTTAGCTATTTCAAAGTTAGCACATCATCAAAGTATATATACGTAGTTTTTAAAGACATTGAAATTTTGTAAATCAGTAAAATGAGGGGAACGCATTGTAGCTGCCCAAAAATAGCTCCGCACACACATTTTTTTTTTAGAACCGTAACTCCGCAAAAGATACTTTTAAAATCATAATAATTAGCAAGAAAAAAATTTCACGATACATAATTATAATTAATATAAACAGTTAACATAAACATATCTGTCTATTTTATTTTCATTATACAATTTTATTTTTTTATTTATAAATTTAAAATCGTTTTTTTATTCACATCTAATTATCCAACATTAATTTGTATTAACATTCGAAATATGTGATTTACTCGTGCAGCAAGGTTTAGGTTCAGGTACAAAGCATAATCATATCCACAACAGCATCAAGATATGTACGAAGATTAGATTAGACTTAGACTATAATTGTCTTTGGAACGATGCCCCATTCTTGAAAAAAGTGCCACGCAGTGGCACTAAAGTTTGCGAATGGAGCTGGGATGCGTAACGAGCGAAGTCTTAAAATTTTAAAATTTGGGTTTCGTATATAGGTTTATTTATAAATGTGGAACTCCAGTGTATCAGATATTTCAATATATATTTCACGCGGACTTATGGTATTAAATGTGTTTTTAAAATGTGGAGCTACGGTGCGCCCAAAATGAGACGTATAATGTTCGAGTACTTATGTACAAAGTACAAATCATTACATATTTTTACTGGCTAGTCGTTCCCTCCCCACCGCATTAATTGGCACATTAGTAAAATAAGTCGTCGAGTCAGCAATTTATTAAGAGTATGCCGACTTTCCTACTCTAGAAAAACTGAAATCACGCCCCTGGTTCGGTAACGCGTGTGTTAATTCATGATTTTAATTTTGTTTTGTTTTAATGACAGCCTATTGTGTATGGGACGCGTAAAAGAGGGTAGAGGGATATTAACCAGTGTTCGGATTAGATAACTAATTTTTTATCTAGATAAAGATAATGCAACTCAAATGTATCTAGATGAAGATAAAATAAAACATAATTCGTATTTACCTAAATAATAAAATAAAACACTTTTTTATTTAGATTAAACTAGATACAATTTGCAAACCTAACACAACGGCATTTTTTTTTTTATAACTATTTTATTTACTTACTCCTTACATCATCATAGCAAATTTATATTGCTTAAACACAGATTACATGTTAAATACATTTTTTAATGTTTCTGAATTATTATTTCTTAATGAAACAATGAACGAAGAATAGGTAAACATGAATAACAAATGTTTGAAAATAAGTATTAATATTAATATAATACTATCATTGAAAATTTTGATTGAGAATTTCAATAAAAGTTAAAAAAATTATATACCCAATTCTGGTGATCGATGTATACCCAGTTTCTAGATAAGTAAAATATTAATCCGAGATAAATGTTTAGATGCGTTGTAACTGATTTTCTGGATAAGATAAAAGATGAATGAACAGCTATCTGGATGAATGATGCTTCTGCATAAATGTAAAATCTTTAGTCCGAACGCTGGTTTTGACGGACGCCAGACAAAAGCAATTAGTAGTGACGAGTCACGGACGAGGGATGACGGATTTTCGTCGGCGGTCCAGTGGGGTCGTTTCCGGACTCGTAACGGGGTGGAAATCGGAAATAACGGTGAGACAAACGGACCGTGCAAGAAACGCTTTCCGACTAAGCCATTCGGGGACGGAAAGGGACGTGTTTCCGCTCCATCGCTATTCGATTCACAACGGGGATTTCAATATTCGTTCGTAAAACGCGTCCGACGAGAGACGAGATGAATAACGTTTACATGATGACGGACACGATGATCCGTATATACTTACATATGCAAGATTTGCCATCGGGCCCGAGCTTGAAGTCGGACGGGCAGATGCAGACGACGGCGTTGCGCAGATGGTTGGTGGCCGCGCACAAGTACGCGCAGCCGCAGCCGACGATGGCCGGTATGACGAACACAGTGCCGGAGCCGTAGTGGCTACCGGGGTACACAGCCCTGTAGAACACGTGACGGCGGTCCGGCAAGTACGACCAACCGCCCTCGCCGTTCGTCTGACTGTTGCTCCAAGCGCGACCGCCTTCGTCGCGGAAAGAGGAAAAATAAAATACAAAAATATTAATATATTAATCAGCACGTTTTTAAACGTTACGTTTTCAGCACGGTTTTGTTGAAGGAATAAGAATCAACCAAGGATAATTGGTAAGGGGGAACGGGGTAGCTAGGAAAAAAAAAATCGCACGTTAAATCGTAAAGCGAACAGAATACATAATATGTATGTAAATGTTATGTATTCTGTTCAATATTATGTACTTTTTGTCATCTTTAACGAGTTCAGATTAAACGCACTTAAGGGTAGAAAAAATATCCGAATAAATGGTTTTTTTCCAAGTTATTCGTAGCTCCTGCTGATATTTTACAACTCCAGGCGAATAAAATTTTATAGCTATATGTATGTGTATTGTATTGGATGATATTTTTTACTGTTTATAAAAATATAGTTTTTTTTTTTTTTATTAAAATGCATATTCACGATTTATACAACAAAAAGTACATTAAGAAATAAATTTGATAATATATAATATAAAACATGACATTTATATCTTGAAGGGAAAAAACCGTCCATCAACAGTACTTCGTAATTAGTTTGATGGGTTCATATTATAGGGACCTTTTTTTTTTTTTTTTGTGTGTGTGTGTGTGCGTTAGGCAAGGGCGTCTCTTGGCCATTTTCTTTTTAACCTCCTTGGAGGGTTGTTGGGGATGGTCATAGAGGACATGCGAGAAATAATAGAGTTTTGGTTTAAGTGCTTTTTGTAGTGACGAGTTGCTAATTCGTTGACCGTTGAAAAAAAAAAAAATATAGTTAAGGATAATTTTTGTGGTCCATTTGGTAACAATGATTTTTATGTATGTATATGAAAAACCGATTGCCAAAAAATATTCACCATTGTTTCGATTTTAAATTTTAATCAAACGAATTTCTTATGTATGAATAAAAATTATAATAATAATAATTAAAAAAAAATAATTAGTAAATGGTTAACACTCGTAAATTAATATATAAATAAATAAAAAATATTTTTTATACAGAAATAAATAAATAAATAAATGTTTAGTCTGGAATATTATAATATTTTTAATGTACGACCGGTTTTGAATTAAAAAATTCATCATCTACCATGTACGGAGTCAATAAAATCGCGACTGACTATGAAAAAATAAAAGAAGAAATACATTGAGAGAAATTGGTAGTTCTACACAAAGATAATTTATTTTAATAAAATACATTATTTAAAATGAGTTCTTATTAGACATAAATATTTTAAGAAATAAAAATACTTCGGTTATTATAATTTATTATTATCTAAAATGTATTTATATAAGATATATTATTTAATTATATAATATTATATTTTATTGTGTATGATGTATAACTACAGATTTAAAAATACTCCAGGCTAAGCATTTATTTATTTATTTATATTAATAAACTATATTTTTATTGAATTGTTAATTTACCAATTTAAGAATGTTGAGTAATTATACTTCATATAGGTTATATACGTACTCTTAGTCGAAATTGATCAATTATTAGTGATATTACTAAGATCGGTTTAATGCCAAATAGTAATCATAACATTTGTAAGTTATTCCCTCAAAATCAATATCTACAAAACAACACTTAACAGAGCAAGAACAGAACAAGGTAAATGTAATTACCTAATGCACAAATGTGGAAAGTTAGAATACCCCTTCTGTGAATGCGGAATGCATTAAACGATACGTCATATTGTCGATAAATTCCCACAAACATATTTTGTCTGAGGTCTGGTGAAACTATAAATCAGAGGCGAGTGTAGTGAAATGGATGGAGAATCTGGAGTTATAACTTTAAGCTAGAACTTTAAAAGTGACCAAGTCTACCTTCTAGTCATATATATATATATATATATATATATATATATATATATTTCTATCAATAATCCAGTTATAATATCATAGTATTAGTTAATTTGCAATTATCTTAACGTCAATAATTCAACGTAATAATCTTGACGTTCTAACTTATTATAGTAATTATTACTATCTTTATAATCTTTATTACAACTGCACTTTATTCATATAATCCCATATTATCATATGCAAAATAAATAAATACATATCAATATTAAATTTATCAACTTAGTTTCATTAAAATTAATTACTTAGACTATTTAGCTTGACGAGTTTATTTTTGTGATGAATAGAAATGTTGCAAATGTATCAGTATATTATTAACTAGAAATCATGGAACGCTATTGATCGAACACAGAATAACAAAATCACCGATAGTTTTACCACAATATACTAGTTACAAGTTACTAATACTAGTGACTAATACACCACATTTTAATCAACATAATATAAAAATTAAAAATAACATCATTGATATTTATTTTTCGTCTGTAGAAGAAAATCAATTATATACAAGTAAAATAATGAGAAAGTTATCAGATAGTTTGAGTAAAAGCATTTCAGTAGAACATAGAACGGAAATTTTAGTGAAAAATTATATAACAACATAAAAATAATATTTTCATTACATAGTAGTAAGTACCTATATTTCTTTAGGATTTATGGATAACAAATGTTATTTTATTAAGTTAGAATATATGATATTATTTTGTTTTCAAAATTAAAAATATTATATTTATGATGTCTTTAGAAAAGGATTATTCAACTAAAATTTTTATTTTGTTTTTTTTTTTAAATTATCAGAAGCAATTAAGTTACAAGGAAAAAAAATCCACTGTAAAGTAGAATTTGATAGACAGGTATTACGTAATCAGTACATTGCTTCATATGTATTTAGTACATATTTACTATGTATCTACGTATTTATAAGGATTACTATCTAATACTGTTTGTGATAAAATAATGTACACGATGCAATCTAAATTACAAACTATTTAAAAGTAAAAACTTAACATAAAACTGACCGTAAACGAATCGTGAAGCAATTTAATTATGATACTATGAAAGAAGCCACGAGCGAATTGTAAAAAGGGTAATAAGGAAAACTCTACAAATTGCAAAACGATACTTTCATTATTTAAATGTGTCGATCAAGAACATGAGAAACTAGTATGCGAAAACAATCAAATGAACCGATGATGACACGACCAAGCAACATGTACTACCTAAAAACTCCTTTTTAGCACCAATTTCACATGTAGCCATCCGCTATAGACGTTCAGCTTATATTTGTCATAATCATTTTGCTTTGCCTATGTTAATTTAATTAAAAAAGTTAATAAATCTCAGCAATACCGTCACAGCTGTTCTTTATAGTCTATTAATTTAACTTAAAATAATCTACATTTCAAAATTTTGTAACCCTATTGAACAGTCAACTCGGTATGCTACAGGAGGATGATTAAAAAAATGTCGACTTTTATTAATAATAATCGTGTTATTTTAACTAGTTAACTGATAAAATTATTAAAAGTAGAATATAATAACTTAAAATACAAACAATTTACAAAAAAAAGTATCAAATACTTAATGTTTGTACACTCCATTCCTTAAATTGTACAAATTAACGTACTATTTATACTACTTATTATTTTTTATAAGTTTTTTGCTATAACCCATAGTAGCATTTTTTATTTATCATACTTAAATCATATCACTGAAATATTTCAAAACACAATTAAGCATAAAATAGGCAATAAAAAAAAAAACTTTAATTTATGTTGTTATTGACGTTTTGTTTCAAAAAGACGAATCTCCTGGGTCGACGGTTGATATAGTTAAATAACCGAATTTCTTAATAATATAAGTTGAATTTTTAATGTTCAAAGTTAATGTAAAAGAAAGGCTTATTATGAAAGACAGTCTATCATAATAATATAGTCTATTATAATCTATAAAGAAAGATTATGAAAATAAAATTGTAAATATTAAGTGCTTATAAACAACAAATTTCATAAAAATAATTCGAAATTATAAAATGCCTTGAACTAAATAATTAATATCATCTAAAGGAAATTCGTTGAAATATCTGATTTCATTAAAATTTCATATTGTACTACTTATAAAACATTTTTGCAACTTTCCAATAAAACAGTTTTATATTGGCTAAAATTCTTATCTTTTTTTAAATTAAGCTTAATTTTTATTCATTAATCAATAAAATCTTGTAAATGGAATATACTTTTATCTTCAACAGTAATAATTAATCATTAACCAAGGAAGTTAAACTCTAAATATCAATGTATTTCCTTATTTTAAATAAAAAAGCCGTTGAATGTTTTAATTTATTTGACCATAGATAAATAATTCTCATCATGCTATTGTGTTGTATTTTAAAATAATTAATATGGGTTTAAGAGTTATATTTTTAATGAAATTTAAATTAAAACTATTTAAATTACAATAATACGATATAAATAATATTATAGTAATATACAACTCTTTGATCACATCAATAATTCTAATTACGGATTTCGGATATCCTGTTACAGACATACGTATATAGGTCTTTACGACTCTTGCAGATATATACGATGTAGATCATTGCATGTGTTACGGACATACATACGTAAATCCTTATTACTCTTACAGATATATACAATGTAGGTCATTGCATGAGATCATCATATAATACAGCATGTAATATAATATATATGTCCTTGTGAATATCCAGATTTACAGAGAAGATACATAAAACTAAGTGGTTGTTGCAAAAAGCCAAGACAACATAAAAAACATGCTATGTAAGGTATTATAAAAATTAGATAGTTGATACTGTTTGAAGGGGATCTAGAATATTAACTATATCCGGGTCAATTATCCCATAAGAACGGGGTATATAAGGTAGTCCGAACAGACCAATATTTAGATATGTTTTATACCTGTTTTAGCGAGCACCTACACGCCAGATCGTTTGTTGAATTAATTAATTGTACTTAGAGAAATTTTAATAAAACAGTCTAACTTAGTTTGAGCATTTTTATTTGAAACATTCCTAAATCGATACCATCTTTACGGTTGAACTGATGGCAAGCAACAATCCTTTATTATGTGATTACAACTAGATATGTATACGAATCCAACAAACGGTATGCTCGCAATCATTTCACGTACAATCCTGTTCAGGATTTTTTTCTGACAACTCGGAGGAGTCATGCTGTACGATAACGATATAATTGTGAAAAACAAATAACGTAAAACAATACGACGTAAAGTATAATGAATAATTCCATTGTAACATGGAATTTACCGTGCGATCAAATAGAAAAAAAAAATGGAACGTAAAAATCTTATTCATTGATTTAAAAAACAAAAAATCGCATTTGGAATGGGTGGGAAATGAATCGATAACATACCATCTCGCCATCATTGATTCGTTATTACGCTCCTTGAATTATTAATCGACGCCTGACAACCAAATGCTTTTTATCTGTACGGTTACGGTGTAACGCCTGAGGTCCCTAAGCACCCGCTTCTACCAGGGAGTATTCTAAGAGGAGGAGCGAACGAGGCAGTTACCCCCACGTCTTTTTTACCCTTAAAATTGTTGATTTCTATTACCTACATTGCGCTTGGAAAATGCATACGTAAACGTGTGCACCGTAAGATCCGTAACCGTGCCCGTGCCGGATGACATTGGTCGTATTTCCAGCTCTAGAGGGAGGGGGACAAGTGGTGTTATTGCACTGGACCCCACAAATTATGTATTAAGAATATCACTTTATCTATAAAGAAAAAAATAATGTAGTCCCAGTACGCAAATCACAATCCGTGTGCGGTCATGTGGTTTTCTTAGGAAACGGGTTGTTAGCCACGAAAATTAAAACTGTACCAATTATGTATAGATTTGAAGTATTGTATGGGTACGCACTTGTAAAATTATTTATCATCGACGACGGTTCGAAATATACCCATAGTACATGTTTAATTATATAATAACACAAAAAACAGATTTCTATAAACAATTAATAAATTAACAAAATTAACAAATTAATATATAATAAATGGGGCCCCACAAAATTCCGCACCGGGCCCCAAAAACCGTTGGGCCGGCACTGATTGGATACATCGATTAAGACCCGGCAAACTGCCCAATGTACAAAGTTGTTCGTCCCTCTCAAAAGGGTCCAAGGATCCAACCACCTTAAATCCAACCGCTTGTCGCTGCACGTATCAATTTGACTTACCAGTGAAACCGCCGCCTCCCCCTCCGGCCACGCATCCACCACCACCGCCGCCAAATCCGCCGAAGCCTTTGGTGTTGCCGCGGCTTTTGTAGCACGCCAGACCGCCAACGCCACCGCCCTCGCTGCCGACACCGCCGACTCCCAGCAACGCCGACCCTGTGGTCTTCTTGTCCTCCGTGTAGTTGCCCGGGGCCCAGCCACCGCCTGCGCCTGTAATTCATTCGCGTGCTTATTTTTTAGAAACGTATGCGTTTCGGCGGAATGTTTTCGTGAAACCGCTGCCGAGAACGATAATATGTGTATGTACTGTGTAGGGTATCAATAGATGGCTACCCGAGACCTGTAGGATTCGGTATGTACCGAAGACAGCGCATGATATCGGTCGGTGGAAAAAAATGAAATAAAGGGAACATTACCAAGTTTATACGAAAAAAAAAAAAAAATATAAACAAAAATATAATGGAAAAAGTTGAAATATTCGAAACGGAAACGGTATTAAGTTAAACAACGTTGTACGGGTGTACCTAATAACAACGTGATGGCTATGAAATCCTTATACTTAGAATGAGAAAAAAAAGTATGAACCATCGGTTGTCTACTAAATTCACATCAATCGTACAGCACTAGGTATTATCTATTTATAATTTGTCTCACATATCTGATGACGTTATTTCTTTTACCAAATATGTTTGCAGTCTAGCTGAATAAATTATTTAAGAAACGCTATTTTTTTCTAATACACACTCAACGTATTTCTTGACATACGACTTTATTACACATTTACCTGTTTTTTTTTTTTTTTTTTACAAATTTAATTTAATTTATACATTTTTCTGTTACAATTAATTATACTTTCTTAACGCCAATGTTATATGCGAAGCAAAGAAAACAAAACAACTGTTTATGTTTTGTGTTTCACAAATTAATTTTGCTCTTGTATTTGTTAAGCCAGATGAAAATTACTAACGGAATTAAAAATAAAATACCAACCAAATATTGTTTGAAAACGTTTATAAATGTTTTTTGGATTTAATGTTGGTCAAGTGAGTAAGTTATATATATATATATACATTCTTCTTGACAAATATTTAAAGGGCATTAATTATTGCATTAAACGTTACTCCCCACGTATATTCATAAACAGCGTGACATTTCGTAAATTACAGTCTACCTGTAAAATGTGTTCACAGTTATGAATTACTACGTTCTTTAATATGTATTAAAAACGTAACACATATTTATAGTGCTAATGTAATTACAAAAGTCACTCTAACAAACGTGTCTATTCTATGGATCAATATTCTAGTCTGATATGCTTTCCAATAGAAAATAACGGGGATACAAGGTCCCTATTTCCAATCAAGTTTGAGATAATAATCTCGTTATGATCACAAACATTTTAACAATTCATAGGACTTGAAAAAAATATAATAATATGATTTTTGTCATCAGTATACGAACATTTTTATCGGGTTAAACGTACAGATTGTTATAACTTTGTTTACGTACCAAAGGGTTAGTATATAGTTAGCGATATTAAAAAAGTAACAAAAAAAATAATAATAAAAAAATAAAACAATTTTCGCAATATTTTTTTTTTTTTTTACAGTAGATTTTTCCGTACGCATGTATAAAAAACATTTAATAAAAAAAAAAAAAAAAAATGAATGTTTTAATCTCAATGCAACTTATACTTCTATCGCATGTAATAAAAATGTATCGGATCCCAGGGCTTAACCAACAATCAACCGGCATTTCACGATTCTATCGGATTTCGGATTTAGCTTTCGTATATGTAACGGCTGCAGCACGGAAATAATTGTATACAGGACAGAGGTGAAAATATGTGAGTAGAATATGATGATACACACGAAAACACATTTTGTATTTGTAAGATATGACTCGTATTATAAATCATGCGAGAAGTATAATTAGATTAATACTTATGCTGCGATTAAGACAGACCGATCAAAATTATACAGAATAGCAATTACAGCGTGTTAATGATAGCAGCACAGCTATATTTAACGAAACCGGAGATTCTAAGCTAATGATATAAATTATTACAGAAAAAATTTTTCCGCAGTCCGAGCTTAATGTCAGTAACTAAAGCTGGTCAAACAATACGTGTTGTACCAACGTTCAACAAAGTCGATAAATGAAAAACTACGGTTTGCATACAGGCGTTCACCCTATCGCGGAATCCTGTACGCTTTCGGCAGCGGTTAACGATTCTAGACGCGCGTGTTTAATTTTCGGTGTTTGAACGTTAAGTTTTTATAATGCGTACGCTAGCGTCTGAAACGCGTAGTGTGCAAACAGCTTTAATGTTAGTTAGCTAAGCCTTACACCCAGGAATAGTCGTAACATTTAGTACGACTAAATATATTCAGTTCAGTGTACAGTAATATCTTTTATAATATCAATTTTTTTTTTGCATTTATTAATAAAACTGTAATACTGTACAGTAATATCTTTTATAATATCAATTTTTTTTTTTTTGCATTTATTAATAAAACTATAGGGAAATCGGTAAAATGACCTATTTCAAAATACCGACTAGATTGGCGGTCACTAACCGGTAGTCCGTGGACCACTGGTGGCCCGTGAAAAAATTTAAGTAGTCCGCAGGAAAATTTGAATATTAGGTACTTACAGAATCTTTTTGTTGTTATTTTCCAAAAAAATAAGACTCTAGACATGGTAGTATGTGGATAATAAATCTATTGCAGCAAACAATGAAAATAACAAGTTAAATATGACCGAGAAAAAATACCTCATCGATTTATTTAACGGTATTTATGTAAAAAGCTATTTTAAGCTAAAAGTGGTTTGTAGAATTTAGAGTATGTATTTAGTGATCCGTGAAGTCCAAAAAGTTGGCGACCGCTGGACTAGACGAATTGAAGCAATTCTTCTGATCGAAATCAAGTACACAATAAAAAAACTCACATCATGTATCAACCAATAAATTTCTCGTTTCATTCAAATTCTAAAAAATTTACAAAAAAAAAAAAAAGAAAAAAAGGAAAATTAAAAATCTCTGATGTTCTCAAAAATCATAATAATTATGTAATTCAAAAACAAAATTGTTGATAGTGGATTCATATTAAAATTTTAAACAAAATGTAATTATTTTTAATAGACAATTTACTATACATATTAGAGGCAAGATATTTTGAAATATACTTTGCTTTAATGCGACTGATAAAATTATAATTTAGTATTTTATTAAATGATTTGAATTAACAAAATTTATTGAAAACCAAATGTTAACTTGAATGTTTTTCTTATAGAAAATATTTATTTAGCTATTTTTTATTCATAATAATAATTAAATATTTTAAATGTTTTATAAAATGTATCAAAATGATTGAAAACTCATTCTTGTTCATATATTCTTGCTATTAAATATATTTCAACAATTAAACAGAAATATCAAATGCTAACAAATTATATTTTATTTGAAAGAGTTAAAACTATGAATTATTCTAATAATTAAGGTGTAATATTAATCTTTAAGGTCAGCTGATAAGATCAATCACGACAAGAAAACCAAATAAACCAAGTGCAATAAATAAAATATAGATAATGAATAAATTAATTTATTAAATATATTTCATGTTTAATATGATTATTTATATATTTATAATTTCGAAATTGCATTCTGAAATTGGATAATAATGAGACTTTTTTTTATTTAGAAAAGTGTAATTAACTAATATTTTTTATTTCTTTTATTGTTTAATACAATATCACAGATATTTTTGTATTCTTCTACTTTATTAAATTATTTAAAATATACTTAATTTAACAACACGTTTTAAATACTGTTTTATTTAAAGTTAAACTTACAACTTTAAATATGAGTAATAACTTACACATTTAGCAAATTATAATTACTTTAACTGATTAATAAATAAAAAGTTTGTTTTAGAAATCTATGAAGTATTTTAAAAATTTTTCCTTTTTTGCTACAGATGATTATTGCAATTTTGGTCAACATTTATCCATAGCTAAAAAAGCAATAAAGAAAATAAGATATTTTCTGATTTTGTAATAAAATCTAATATTATTTTTATGATAGTTTTATCGTGATGTTAATCACATATTTTTAGCCCGTTTGATATTTTCTAATATATAATGAATTAATTGAACGCTTACGTTCAATACATTGCAGAAATGATTGAATATAAGATATTATGAACACTGCGAAATTTAGAATTTAAATTAAATTTTATTTTATTATTTACTAAATTTGATTTATATAAATCTTTAATACTGGAATAATAAAATACCGCAGCTCTGCAGACTTTTTCGAATTCAATAAAAAATAGCTTATCATGTTATCTTCTATATTTTAGATTTTTGTTTTTAATATTATTTTGGTTGTTATACACCATTTTATCTGAAGTTGTCACTTGAATGAATCATAATTATTATAATTTACTCAAAACATTTAACTCCAGAGTATCACATCATCTGCAAATCTAGAACTGATATCTTTAAGTATTTTGGTCATATAACTTGAAAATGTACGGCAATTAAATCAAATTTTTCTTTGAATGATTTAAATGACACACTACCAACTCAAGCCTTCTCGTTTATGTTTTTGAATACTTTGTTTTTTTCAAAACTTCGTCATTCACTGCTCAAGTTCTCATCATATCTCTATTAAAATATAATCATCATAATTTCCATTTCCATTATTCTTAAATACTTAATGCCATTCAATTTGATCGCTTGTCAATTACAATTATCGTCTTAAATTATGTTTTTGAATATACATCTTGCTAAACAAACTATTAATATTTATTTATTTATAACTATAATTAGATAAAAACTATAATTTTAATGGTTTTATGTCATAATTCGTTGTTTCTGCATATAAAATAACATGCAATTTGAAACTTTTATTTATAAAACATAATGGTTTTCTTACATAAATCTATCATAGTTCAAATAAAACGACTATTTCTGCATTTAATTTGTTTTTTATTTATAGGTATGGGTATTAAATAGTATACAATTTATATTTTCATCCTCGAAATATTTTTAGTATTTAATTTAGTTAAAAACATGTTTCACTTACCAACGTTACATTGAAAGAAAAATATTACGTTGAACATAAGTTTTTATAATTCATTAAAGTTTAAAATACAATTTTAGTCATAATTAAATTTAATAGTTTAACATTTAAACAACTTAATTCAGTTAACATAATAATTAGTTGAACATAAAACTAAATTTGATTCCACCTAAAAAAAAAAAAAACAATAGAATAGATGATTTATATTTTCTTTGTTTCTTTAATCACAGAAATTTAATTAATAAAATAGTACTAGTTTCGCAATAAAAACACTTCTATATAATTTATACCCCAAATTAAAACTTACTGGTATATTGTACAAAATAATTCAACTATTTAATAAGTTAAACAAAGTAATATTTAGATCAAAAAAGAAAAATGATGTAATATAATACTTTTACTAATTAGGTATGCAAATAATTTAATAAATATGTTTTCATAAAAACCATGCAAATTAAAAGTTATATTTTCATTGAATGAATAATCCATTATTAACGGTTTTAATAAATGTTAAACATTGTTTATAATTTTAGACACTGTTTATAACATAATAATATATTATTAAATACAGAAAAGTATCCCTGAAAGTTAAATATTTATCTATATAACTATACGTTTACATTCAATACGAGATGATAATGGCAAACAAAATCCACTAGGTCAGACAGTTATTCATAGGATAAAGTCGGTGTACCATATTAGTATTATTGTTAAATACAATCACAACACGTATTATTCAATTGAATTTATTTTAGCAATATGTTAAAGACCTATGGGTATACTTACTCTAAAAATTGAAATCTGTAACTTTAGAGTTAAAAAAACGAAAAATAAAGATAAGGAAATCATATTTATTTTTCATGCTAAAGAACAATCGAAAATGCGTGAATATTATACCTCTCTAATCCATATCAAATTAATTAATTCAAATCTGTTAAAAGTTAAACTCCCATGAGCAATTAACGCTTCCAACTCCCACGCGTGACTTATAACAAAAAGATCACGTTTCTTAAATTATTAAAACGACCCACAGGCACCAACGAACTATCGATGTACTACTTATTGGAATTGGTGTTATAGTTTACGAGTTTATTGTAATATGGTAGTTAAAACCAAAATAAAATGAAACAATTTGATTTATGTTTTAACAATTGTATTATAACAATTGTTCGGTGTATGATTTACTAAATATCCATATGCCAAGATTGATGAGAATAGTGAACAAAAATCTATTATTCTTATTTGGGAATTAGACCAATCATTGGTTATGTATTTCATGATATGTATGGCTATTGCATACTTTTGCATATATTTAAGATTACTATTCAAAACTTGTACCAGAACAGTTATGTTTTTTCTCCCAGCAGATAAATAAATAAATAATCAATACATACTAATTACGGATTTGAATAAATCACTAGTTAATTCAGTGAAATAGTACGATTTAATACTATGAATAATATGAATGTAATACTATGAAATCACACGATCTGAATATGTCAGTCACACAAAAAGTATCAAGCCCGTTCGCATAAACAGTGTATGTAAAACAGATTTTTCACATGATATCTTTTTTGAAAACTTCACGAAGTGGATAAATATGACACGAAACCGTGTGGTATTTGTTGTCAAAACGTCAGTCATTATTCGGACCATTGTCTTGTCAACAATCACCAAGCCACAGTAAGCGAACCTCAAAGCAGCGGTACAAGCTCACCCACAAATAATGGAAATGCAATCACGAATAGGTTTGTTTTTCAACTTTGTAATTTATATATTTATATATTTAAATATCCTTTTAACCATATCAGCATTCACCAGTTATCTTCCGCTTGTTTCTCTTCATCACTTCGAAAATTCCGTCACAATCCGCCTATTGGCCACGTACAAATTATGATAAAAATATACAATTTTAAATTAAATGTACATAACTATACATACATTATTAACATCAAATAAATAAAAATAACAATAACGATTCGGCGTCGACTCGGTGTAATATTAAATTCAATTTTCTTATACTGTATTCATCCTGCAATATTTTTATGGATACCTAATCAACAATATCGGATCGTACAAAGATAATGACTTTTCTTCGAAAAAAAAAAAATATCACTACATTAAAATGTATAATATTCAGTTTCACATAATTTGTAAATGACACGATAATCTTGAGTTGAGTTAAATTTGATGATGAACATCACTTTTAAGTCATCGCTATCCAAATAATTAATGCTGTTAATTTGTTCGATACCAATATTTGTCTGGTTTTCTTCGGTCGCATAAATTATACTTCGTTTATTATTATATTTCAGAACAGTATATGCATATAAAAGTATATAATGTGTTAATATATTCAATGCGTACTATTGGATTTTTATTAAACATAATACATAATATATTTGTGTCGGAAAAAAAAATAAAAATATTTTATCGTACAAACCTGCAGGGTTTTCGCCGAAAGATGGTGCAGTGATAGCAGGTAATCTGGGGTTCGTACCGTTGCCGTGTTGACTTCTGTCGTCTTTGAACGGTCCGTGTGCTAAACCACCTCCGCCAGCGCCAATCACCAAGGGTATGAACTCCGTTTCTCGCGATCCCTTCAATATTATCAAACATTTTTAAATATTCAAAAATTTGAAAGACAATAGCTATAATTATCATCGTTTACTTATTGTCAATTATGGGAGTTGTTTAATTTGAAATACAAATTTAATTTTTAAATTTTATTGTTTAAATTTAACTTGCTTTCAGGGTAAAAAATATTTATAAAATTATTTTATTATACAAAATGCAAACAACTTAATATCTAACATAATATTTTTCAGGAAAAAAAAGGATTATTTATGGACTAAAAACGTTTAAAACAATATACTGCTAATACATTCGTCATTTACTACACAATGTCAAGTTTATTATCAGGGTTGGATAGTATCAAAGATACAATGTCTATTGTATTTTGTATCATGGTACATAATTTTAAAGTATCAAGTATCATGTATCATGATACATTTTATGCAAGTATCATGTATATTTTTTTTCCCAAAAAATACAAGATACTATTATTGTAAAAATTTGTACTGAATAGTACCAAGAAATAAAAAAATTTTCGTCATGGATTTTATTTTTACGAAAAATAACTGTCCAGATGCGATCGAGTCGAAATGAACAACGAAAACATTAACTACACAACGTTATACCTTGTAAGATAATTTGAAAATTACAGTCATACAGATAAACACCAACTTCAAATTTTCGTTCTCATAAAATATGAATCCACTACAAATTTTTTTTTTTTTTAAAGATATGGCTGTAATTGTAGTAGATATTTCCATGTAAAATAGAAAACAAAATCAAAAATACAGATAAGTAATTGTAGTGTACTATTACTAGTGTACCATTTTATTCGTTCTGCCTTCTGTGTAACTGTCGCACTGTCAGTAAAGTAATTATAAGGCCGTTCACAATTTTTTCATACTTGATTCCTATATATTTTAATTTTTTTTTTTTTTTTTTTTTTTATAGATTATTTTACTGAACAATATATTAAAATTCCAAAATCATTGAATGGAAAATATTTTAAAATTTTGTCTTATAAACAAATTGGTTCTTATTACATTATTTAATATTTATGAATTTATAAGTACCTACTATATATATTACTATAGAGTATGGACTGATAGTATATTGTATAAACCTTTTACGTTTAAAAGTTAATAAAATTCAATTGGAAGTATGAAAGTATCAATGTATCAATGTATCTTTTTTACATTCACAGTGAATCTTTATCTTGTATCTAGATACACTAAATGCATGTATCATGATACTTTTTTTTAAGTGTCTTGCCCAACCCTGTTTATTATGAATAATTTAATATTTTTTTTGCTAAATGATAAATTCTCAAGTAAACAAAGTTCAATAAAAATAAACTTCTGTAACAGTAAAAAAAGTTCAATATTTTTTAAATTTCTTTGTGTTCAATGTCATGAACATAAATACAGAGTAACTTCAAAGTATATCAAAACGAATAAAACAAAACGTATATTATTCCATTGAAGAATACCTTGCCTACACATTTTTATTAAACCATTGTTGAACCTTGTCACTATTATTATTTTCTAAAAAAACGTTCGTTAAAATAGTACAGAACGTTGCAGAATTAATTTAGTAAAGGATTTTGTTGTCAACAATAACAGAAGACTGTTATGTGAAAACTAACTCTGAGTTATATCGTGTATTACGTAACATAATACTTATAGAGATTTACAAAAGTACCAGTATTGTTTTAAGTCATTATTGTACATTATTTATTTAATCGTTTGAAACACAAGAATATTTACTTATTGGCATTACTGTGAACATTGTATAAAAATGGATTGTGTAGGGTGGTAAATTTTAATTCAACCGATGAATGTTTTAGTGGTGTAAATTCGCAATTTTCTCGAAAATACGAGTCAAGTTGCTGGTTGGTGGTTCTATTATTCTGTTCACTTGGCTTCGCTTTAGTGATTGATTAATCATTTATGTAATAATTACTAAAATATTTATACCAATGTATATAATAAATAAACGCATTACAACAAAAATATTCACTCTATTATTCTTCTCGCTGTTTTTAATGCTGACGTTCAGGAGTTAATGTATTTACTTCATTATATTTCAAAATTATTAATACTTCGTCGGAGTATATTCATATTTCTACAATCGATCAAATTAATTTCCAAATCGTAAACGAGTTATCGGTCCGAATATTTTTTCCATTAGAGTAATACGTATTTGTGATAAAATGTTTGTTGGTATTTTACAGTTGCAGTGTTGTGCATAATTTATCCTTTGAAATGAATATACATACTTTGAGGCTTCGCTTTGTATTTACCGAAGAAACGGGTTGGAGATGGTGGAGGGGGTGGTTGGATGTAAAGTTTATTCTACCCCGGATCCCCTATATTTATAGCATTTCCCTACCGTGCCGCGATAAAACGGTACTTAACTGTAAAAACAAATGATCCACCGCCACCACCGCCGCCGCCGTTGAGCAAGCGCAAGTCGTGCAATTCCCTCAGAGCACTTCCCGTTCTGAAGTATTGTTCTCGTTGGCATGCGCCGTCGTGCTTTTCGAAAGTCTAAATTTTATGAAAAGAAAAAAAAAATAATTCATCATCGACTATTTTGACAATAAATTGCTGCAGGCGCTACATCCACAGTTCTCAGTATTTTTTCCCATAAAAATATATGCGGAGCGCCAAAAATTTAAAAATACCAATTTCACCACAACACATCACATGAAAACGGGTGGCCTGATATATACAGAAACGGCTGAATGATATTCTCGTATTGGTGTTTTAGATTTGAATACAATGTACCATTCCTCTCGAAAAAAAGGATTCTGAATGAAAATAGTCGGTTGCATAAATTTATATTTCTAAATATTGTTGATATAGTAATTGAACGATTTTTTTTTTTTTAATAAGGTTAGTTTTTTAATAACTTGTTCTTAAAATCTTCAAGTGCCAGAAATATTTCTATAATTATGAAATGTCTATAAAATGTTAATATAAGTATTCAGTAAATGATTCTTGCCGCTGCGAACAATAGTTTTGTAATAATAACCAAAAAATTTATATTGTACATTTGAAAATTGTTGAAATACTCAATTTCGTCAAAATTGTGTTTTCTAACACTTATAAAACTATTTCGAAACTTTCCAATAAAAAAATGTTTATTGGTTACAAAGAAAATCTCACGAAAAACTTTTAAATAATTTTCTCTAAATTGTCTATTGGAATAGGGCATGATAAAATATTAGGTATTTATGTGTTCGGAACTTAATCTTGGTTAAAGTTTTTTGTTACATTTTTCTAAATTATTCGGAAAACGGTTGAAAAATATATAAAAAAAAAAGTACGCATGAAATTCACATAATTTTCTATTAGAGACCTCTCGTAGTTATCATAATCGGAAAAATTCTTCAGATCAAAATCATGTTCAGATACATAAAAAAAAAAAAAAAACGCACATCAAGGGAAAACCTATATATTCCACATATTCCATATAAGATAAAGACAGTGTTTTTCGTTGATTTGTATTATTATAATGCTTATATCTTTGGAATACCACGCCAAGTATTTATCAAAATTAGCAATATTATACACTCAACATTATTTTCAAATGTCACGATCCAAATAATATAGTACGAAATGTAATATACATATATATATTTTCGAATAATAATATCGTGAATCAATCTGATTCAGAAGATGTGATATTCGTAAAGTTCCTAGATTGTCCTCCCGGAGCACTGAAGCTAGAAATCCGTTACACTAAACTATTGATTGTGGACCGTAGACGTACTTTTCGGCATGCGTCGCCGCCTTCTTGGCCGACCAAGATGTACAGCTGCTGGTGTTTGGACAGTTCGATCACGGCGATCGCTGTAGCCCCTTTAGAAATGCCCATTCCGTCAGCACCCTTGCCGCCTCGAGCTCCTCTTGCTATTATACTGAAAAAGAACACAAAGACCGTTAAATATGAACATTTTACGTTATGACTATAGCTTGATTTTTTAATTATTTTTTTCTGTTGTAGCCTATTCCTTCTTCTACACATCACTACCATTAACGCAGCACCAAAGAGACGTTTGAATCATCACGATATAAATACAAGGTATGTATGTTCACTCATTACTAATCCTCACTAATTAATTCTTATAATTATGTTAAGTGTGAAGTGAACACCATAAACAAATATGTGAAAAGATAGCTTTATGATGGTTGATAAAGCTCTAAAATATAGTATTCGATTTTTCATGATTTTTTTGATTATAAATATTATTACAGTCCATGGTATTATTATGCTGCTTAATAAACAAAATTATTAAGCTATTGAAATTAAATATTGTTCGCTGTTATTTTTGGACCGATTCTATGATTGTTATGGCATGAATTTCATCACCATCTACTCAATGAAGAGTATTTATCAGCCATTGCGTAAGAGGGATATAGAATCAAATAACCGTACATGAGTGGTGGCACGTGAATAGTCAGGATAATCCCGCCGACGTTATTTTTCGCGCCCGAAATTCGTCATTGATTCAAAAAGAAAATATTTGGGGGGAATGGTCCTGCATGGCTATAAAAATAGCCCAATGCGTAACCAAAAATACCCGAATTATATAGCGTAATTGTAATACCTGACAGTGCATTTTTAACTAGTTAACTAAGCGACACAAATGTCGCCCAGTGATTATACTCTGTTGACAGTATTTTAAAATATTAGGCGAAATAATGCGATACAAACGTGTAATACTATAATCGTACTATAGTATTATACACTATTTTGAGAAAAACGTTTTTTGTCGCCCAATGAAAATCCTTTATAAAATGCACTGATACCTGAAACTACTTAGATACAAGTACAAACTTTATTATAGTAATGAACACTGATGTATCATTTATTGATCGTTTTTCTTCCCTAATGCGATTATTACTATACGGGTAATCGCATAAAGCGTACGTTTCCTAAATATTTTGCGAGATACCAAAATTAAGAGTACAGATCCTTTAGAAGTCCACGAAATCACTTAGGCAGTATATTGAATAATACTCGTACGTTTTGTTCAAAGTCATTATTATTTCAAAGAAAAATCAGATTTAAAAATGGAAATCAAGTATCTTCCTAAAGTAAGGTTTTTAAATTGTGGCGATTTATCGACGATGAATCGTTATGTTAGTATGTGGCAGATTAAAAAATGCAAGTAGTATCCATGTACCTCAAATATATGAAAAAAAAAAAATCAAAGGGCTTTATTCGAAGCTAGGATTCGTTGAAATTTTATTAGAAGTTGAAGTTGTCTTAGTTCTCTTTCCCTTAGAAGTTCTGAATTTAGTGGTATATGGAAATCGACAATGAAATTCATGAAAATACATCTATATAGAACTCTGGGTAATGTGAATATGGCTTACAGAGATCTTAAAACTGTTATAACGCATATAGATGCTAGCTTATACTATCTTCCTTTATGTTCTCTGTCGTCCGATTCTTCTGATCTAATAGCATTTTCCCCTGGTAATTTTTTAACTGAAGATTCATTGACTTCAATAACGGAACCGAACATCTCGTTGATGACTTTTAATTGCTATAATTTGTGACGTCGGATAACACAACTTTCTCAACAATTATGAGCGAGATGACAAAAAGAGTAGCTGTTCCGATTACAAACTCGATCGAAATAAACAATCGATGTATATTCAAATGTAAAAATGGGGACAATGGTGATGGTGAAGGATAACAATTTACCCTCGTTACATTGGAAATTAGAAAGAGTAATAAGGGTTTATCCTGGTGCCAACAGAAAGGTATGTGTAGTCATACTACAAACATATAACGGTCAATTAAAGCGTGCGATATGAAATATATGAGTAGAATCAAACGTCACATGTTCCAAGAATCACTTTTTTTTTCAGAAAACGTCAAGGAGAAAACGAGGAAATTTATCCTAACATTAAATAAAACTAAAATACATCATATTTTTATAATTTATGTCGAAAAAACAAATCTTTCATAAAAAAAAAAAATATGATTTTCGTTGTTTACTTTTTTTAAGTTAAAAGTTTCTGAAAAATGTGAATTTTAGTTCTAGCTTACCATCACAACTATAATGTAGTATTGTATTATGTAACTCTTAGGTTACTGTTATAGTATCTATAGATTATCGAGTTACATATATTTTTCCCTGTTGATGTAGTTCGTTTTTCGTTATTCGGTAAACATGTTTGTTGATATCTTTATAACGTTAAACTAAAATCAAACTCACGTGTATACTCCTGTTTCAGGTACACGCCAAATTTGTACGCCGTCCATGTACGTATCGTTGACAACAATGACGGATACAGTACTGTTAGTGTACGCCGCTTCGCAAGATCTATTACTAGGACCCAATCTACCTCTTGATCCGCATGATGTAAATTTGTAAACTGGAAATGATAAATACAATTTAATAAACAATGTTTCACATTTTGAGTACACAAAATGCAATTTAAATCCGATAAATCAGCCAATAAATTACTAATAAATAACAGAGGATAAACAAATTATAAAATCAAAACGTTGATTAATTCAAAACTATAAAGTTTAATGAGAATGAAAATGTAATAAATAACGCAATATTTTAAAAACTAAATGTTGAAATAGTCGTGATAATAAAAATTGAAATAATGTTGATAAGAAAAAATAATAAAGTACAGTTATAATGATGGTTCGGTTAAATTAAAAACAATTTAATTAAAATAAAATCGCATTATTTTATTTGATCCCATGAAAAATGCAAAACAACGTTTTAATAGTAGCAGTACAACGTGTTTAAATTCTTATTTCTTGTTTGTCACCTAATACTTAAACTTTAATAACTTTCCAAGTATGCCATATTTATTGTAATTAAGTTTATAATAAATAATAATTTTTATCTTCATTACTTTCTAGACATAATTTTCATTAAAATATACACACAAACACACTCATAAATATAAAATACAACACACTCATTGTTATCGGCTGATATAATATTTTAAAATGTATAAATTATTTAAAACGTTTTCAGATAATATACGTTATGAACTCACTTATGAACTCTACATACAATAAACTGGAAATATTATTTAAACCATACACTTAAAAATTATAATAATGGAAGAGAGAATTTTTTTTTTATATTTCTTTTCAAATTTAATTAGCCTTTGCCAATAAAGTATTACGGCTCAAAAATGATGTATTATAATATATTATAATAACAATAATCTGTAGCTAATAATGTAGATAACAATAATAGTAATGATTTAATGAAAGTAATTGCTGCATATAAATATATCACTGGTGTATTTATGAAAGGATAATTTAATTTAGGACCGTAGTAAGAAGAAGTATAGGTAAGTAAATAATTTAAGCGAAATTTTGAAATAACTTTGATAAAAAATTTCAATTACAAAAACATTATTATTTATTTTTAGTACCATATAGTTCAAACACGTAAGAAGTGAGCTTTGGATTAGGATGCAAAGTTTTACGTGAAATTTCGGGTTTTATGGAATGTGATAGACATTGCATTGATGTTTGCTGAGAGATTTGAATGACAAATATCCTTTGAAGTTCACTGTGTGATGGCCACTACACAAAATACATATGGCTAGACAACTTTTGTCTTTGCTGCACTGGGAAGTGAGGTGATCGTCACCACACTTGACACAGCATGGACGGTAACCACAAATCCGTCGGACCGTAGGCCTGGAGTTTGTGACAATGAGATGAGTCCCGATTGACTTTGATCAAAGACTTTGTTTCAAAAATGTTAACCATAATGTTGAATATAGATGAGATATTAAAAATGTCGTTGTTATTTCCAGCGAGTTTCAAATCCTCATAAAAGAGTGGTAGAGCAACGTTTAGTTTTAATATATTTGAGACCCTTGTGATTATATGACTGAGGGACGCTAAAGCTCTAGAAATATCGGAAGTAAACATCATATAGTGTAGGTTCCTGATTACAACTATAAATGAGCATAGTTGTGATGGAAAAAAAGAGATTTTACTTAAAATTAGTTTCCCTTGAAAAGGTAAAGACTACGTCGTAACTTTCTCGGTCTTTTGAACAAACACTAAAGTATGACCGAGTAGCTTTAAAACATGGTTGGTTGATATCAACTGTGCTTGATAAGAAGTTTTTGAATTCGGACTGGAATATTATTTTAAGTAATATTAATAACGATGTGTACATTTAAAAAATTTCATAATTAAAAAATGGGAACAGAGAATGATTTGAATAGCTTGTATTTGCTGAGCCGGTGCATTTTTAAATAAATTAAATTTCATACAATATTATTTGTTCTGGTATGAAGAAATGCTATTTTTTATGTGTATACATTTAAAATTCTATAACATTTAAATCCTTTAAGAGGGATAAATATGAACAATGAACTTAAGTTTAACCGTGGTCTTCAGTACTTAGCTAAAAACGCGTCGTTCGATTATTATAATTATAATTTTTATTATGATTACCAATACTATTGTTATAGTAAAACAGGCAGTCGTCGGCGATACAAATGACCATAATACCTCGAAAGCCCGGACATTATCGACAAAACACGAGTTCCGAAAATAGATTACTAATAATTATTATGAGTACGAACGGCATTATAACGGTATTAGGATATGTTTCGTTACGTCCATTTCCCGTAAATTTCCATGCATTTTACGCTAGTAATTATTTCTTCGCATTTTAGCCTGTTATTGGCGCACTATCAATAATCTCTCCGGATTACGAGTATACCAACGAAATTCGTTGGGAAAAGCGCTTAACGGAATATTATGATTCAACTTATATTTTGCGTATCGAAATTGACGTAATATTATAAATATATAGTAAAACAAGTACGCCACACAACGACGAAATCTACATGTGAAATTCGTTACGTTCATATGTATTACGCTCATAAAAGTAATCAGTAGGAAACCACTTTGGTTATTATGATGCCTAAGATATATACTTATATATTTTTCCCTTATGTATACTAGATATATTATGTGCTTCATAATATATATATATCAGTCTCCTCCTTTTTTTCTTCATACTCGTACACGCGTATTTCGGAAACATAATTCGGGGTAAGTAGATAATCACCTCAATACAAAATTCTATGTTGATAAATATTACAAATGTGATAATAATAAAAATAATGATTAAAGCAATTTATACGTAATTATTTAATCATATAATAACCTATTTTACTCTATTTCAACTGGTGCCTTGAATTCGCGAACTAATGATCTAACTTAAAGTGACGCGGGAATAACCTTTTTATTATGATTATTTTTTTTTCTTAATTCAAACATCAAAGAAATAAATTAATAAAGGTTTCTAAATATTTACACACAAAAATAATTTTATAATAATACAAATATGTCCAAATTAAAAGGTCAAATAACTACCCAAAACGACCATTGTAAAGTAAAGATTTTATCAAATAATAATATATTTTTTAACAATAAGAAAAAAACCGAGATGAATATGAAATTGAAAAAATCGAACAAAATTCGAAGCTAGGAGATTTTCATCGGGACCACAGTTGTACAAAGTACAAAGTTGAAATACAGGATAATCCCGGCACGTTAGATTGCAGCTAATTTAATTTTTTTTTTCGTTACAAACGTGTGGTACCTACTATCAATTATGTACTAATTGCGCTGGCCAATCGGTATAAAAATCGTTAAAGACACGCTGTACAGTTTTAAGACAATGAAATAAAATCGAATGTTTACGTGAAAATAATATTCTTCGATTCATAAATAAATAAGAAATTTCATCAACGATTAATTCGTTTTATAAATCTACGCATTTTAGTTCATTAGTTTCGTACTGAACTGTGACTGGTTTATTATTATTATTATTGGTCATATAATTTATGATTTTATAATTTAGTTCACCTTTTTTTTTTAAAAAATATTTGACTAATATAGTATCTTCTAGCAGCACGGGTTGTGATTGGCTGTCCCGTGTCACGATGATGACACTAAGTTTTCGCCGCTGTCGCCTATACTCGTATAAATATATATATATATATATTTAATTCTATTTTGTATCGATTTCGTTAATCAATGTACATTCTACCTCGTAGGTAATTTAAATATTTAAACAAATTTATTAATATTTGGTGAATTTTTCACTACAATGTCGAACCGAATTACTGCTGCAGTTGAGCGGAGTGGAGAAAAAATAGTTTAGGTTTGCTGGACAACATGATAAAACTAATGCGTCTGATAAATAATGTATACACAAAATTAATGTATTATACATATCGATGTATGTATGATAAATACATCTTATACATGTAAGATAAACCAATAATATGTTTTCATTAGTATATAATGTGTTATACTTTATCGCCGTAAAATTATTCAAAATCAAAATATCATACCTGCAACGGTTATAAAACTGTTTATGTTATGCCGTAAATTTAACATCTATTAACTGCTAAAATTAAAAAAAATCATCGGTAGTTCTGATAAGTTATGAAGTTTTTTTTTTTTCCGACTAATAATAAATATTCTTAGTTACTTATAAGAAGCTAAGTATATTCAGTATAACGGAATACGTAGAGTAATAGTAGAAGTTATTTTCATGTAATAAATTACATTACATTTTAAATGCTTAAAAAAAAAAAATCCATCGAGAATAAAAAAATATTATAATCGTAGGTAAAAACTAATTCACTCAGAAAACCAAATAAAATTATAATAATTCAGTAAGACAAATTTAATAATGAATAATGAACATGAATAACTTAAAACCCTAGTGCCCCACATTTATGTATTAAAAGTACCTACAAAATTACATTACTATTGGCAAAACCATGAACGAAAATAGTAATAAAGAAAGTTACTTTAAAATATTATGTTCGAATATAAATATAAACTGTGTACAGCTTTTATTGTATTTAAAAAGAAAAAAAAAGCTAAAAGATCCTCTATGATTATACTTTTTTTTCTATTTTTGATTTCAAAAATTATAGTATTATATTATATTTTGTGTATATTATATGGATTGTTTGAAAAGCGTATTTTTACGTCTGATATGATTCAGCATTATTTTTATCTGCTTTTAATCCTAAAACTAAATACCTGAACCCTACTTTATTCCTTTTTTGTTTTGAGTAAAACAAAAAGCAATAGAGAACAATTAAATGCCACGCCACGTGGATGAACAGTACATATTTAATGGGATAACGACAAATGCATCGCATTCAAAAAAGTCCACCATAAAAATAAATGCCGCACAATACGATTAACTAAGTCATTATTAAACGAATAAATATACTTATGAGGTAAAATATTACAATATGATAATGAGAATGACGTGCTAAACAATTAAACAGGAGAACAGTTTAAAATTTTAAAATATAGAGCATTCATATTGAATAATGGATCAGTAGACTGCAGCATCTACAAAAATATCTATTGATCATATGACAATTTATTAATAACAAAATCTTACGTACCAGTTTTATTTCGGAAATCCGGATTAATCGGAATCTTCAAAGGCGTTGCTGAAACAATGAAAAATAATTGGTTTATGTTATATTTAGCGCAGTATGTATGTATATGTATATTTAAAATGCATTTAGGACTCTAGGTCTTATAATATTTAAATCTATAAAAAATATAAATATTTTTGTAGCTTTATATTTTAAATTAAGTCATGTATATTTTAGTTGATACACAAATAATCCAACACCGAACAGTATATTAAAATTTGCTACGTTACTTTAGATCATGAACGATGTCTCAGCTAAAAACCTTATATAGTTTGAGTGTTAAATTACGTCACTTTATCAAATAACTAGACGGATAATGAATTATTTGCAAATTTCAGATAAAATTTAAAATAATACACGGAAAAAATTAGTTATTATACTTAAAGTAATTATTTCATACAGTATCTATGTATTGTATACAATTTTATTTTGAAACCCACTAAAAATATAGAATATAAAATATATATTTATAATATTTATAATCATGAGCAGTAAAAGAACATTATTGTACAGCTAAATGCATTAATGGTGCGATGAATGGGAGTGCATAAAATAATTAGTTGAAGCTAACACGACCAGTTTATATGAAAAACGACTCGTTTACATAACGAGCAGATAGTCTCATTAACATCAACCGTTTTACCCATCTCACAGCATTATTGTTATTAAATAAATCCTTATTATAACTTAATAAAAAATTAATGTGAAATTTGCGGCAAAATACGGTATCACAACAATGCCGTATACAGCAACAAAGTATAAATTTTGTAGATAACTGATACGTTTTCGTAACTTCACAAATCGCCTAGTTATAAGTTAGTTTAAATTAACTTATCCAACAATTTTTTTCATTTTTTCTAATCGATATTTTTCTTTAAATTAATCTGTTGTTACTTTATTAGATACGTATAGTATAAAGATACTTATCTGTTTACCCATAATAAATATATTATATTAATTATTTCTTAAAAAAAAAAAAAAACTCAATTGTGTAAATAAATTGTTTTACCTAATCGTTTTTTTGATTCAATTTTTAGTGGTACATTAATTATATGGTCTTATAACAACTTGAAGAGTTTAAAAAACTTATTATAATTTTTTTATTCTATCCCTTATTTTATGGTGTTAAAAAATAATTATCACAAAACTCAAGTGTAAATACTTCACACCTCGTTGTTTGGTAATTTAAACTTTGATTTTATAATAACCTTATATAACTAATAGAAAAATTTATTAATCATATATGTAGCATAATTTGTTACTAAATATTATTTGACTATACAAAATATTTTTATTTGATGGTTACTAAAATCATTAACACACCAGAATCATTTGATGTACCAGCAATTTCATATTTATATCCTTTGAGTACTTCTTTCGGTACATCTGAAAATAAAATTCAAATAAATAAAATAAATATAAATAATATAAAATAAAAAAAATGTTTTCAGTATTTTATTCTCATAATATTATATATTACCTACAACTTATTTCCTACATCAACATTATGATTAGAGTATAGTTTAAAATTAAACGTCAGAAAGTATAACTTATAATAGATACTATACTGCTGCACGCATAATATAATTCTTATCAATCGAGTGTTTTCAATAGACAAGGTTATATTTTTAACGTAAATTTGATTTATTTTAATTTTTTTTTCTTGTTAAATTATATTTTTATTAAATGTATAATAATAATAATAATAATAATAATAATAAAAAAAAAAAACCCTGCAGTAAATATATTAAATGTTCTCAATATAGTCATTAAAAAATGACTATGTGTCAGGTAAACGAAAATAGCGTATATTGAATTTAAAAATTATAATACAATGAAATCTATATTTGTGTTATGTATAAACAGTCGGAAATGAATTATTACACATTTATATTTTTAAAATAAAATATCATGGTAAATAATACAATTTAAAATCTTATAGACTAGATAAATCAATTGAATAATAGAAAATATTTAATATTTGATTGTGCATTAAATACTTACCTAAACCGAAACATTTCGGACTCATAGCTATATCGTCTATTGCGACATCTCCTTTTTGAGACATGAATTTTCGAGCTTCGAATTGCAAATAATAACTGAAAAATTAATTTTATTGGTGTGTTATTTTTTTGCATAAATTGTATAAATTATATATATATATACATTTTTTTTATAGTAAGTAGATAATTGATCTATGAGTTATAAAATAAATACACGGTCACCATTCATATTATTTATAACTTAATTTTACTTACACTGCTTATGGTAATAAAAACTAAATTTTACAAAATATTTCTATTTGAGTACTTATACACAAGTACCTGAGGAAAATAAACAGAGACGTATTTATAACAGTAAAAAAATATGTTTATTCGTAGATGTGATTAGAGCAAGGCATTGGAAAATGGTTGGACATGCGCTGAGATACCAAGAAGAGCTGCTTTATATCATTATAGGTGTGATATTGATGAGGAAAAAAACTTTAGAACATCCTCAAAACTCTTATAGAGTAAAAATTAAAAACGATGAAAGAGTCATAATCTTAAAATTAAAGGAGCCTAAAGAAAAGGCGACTAGATTCGGCTCTATAGATTCAATCGACAAGAATGGTGAATTACAATGGTATATTGACTAACATATTTAAAAAAAAAAAAAAAATAAATACACAGATATAATTAGGTGAGTAAATTAAATATATATTAAGCGATAAACAATCAATCTAACCTAATAATTATAATTTTTCATAAATACATTAAAAAAATATCGTCTGTCTGTTCTAAAACTCGATTATAAGACATTAGTTATACCCTAACGATGTTGGACTAAAATATTAGAATACAATTCATGTTATTCTTTTGTCGAGAAAAAATCTAATCAGATGAAGCAATAACAAATTTTTGTATGGCAGATAAATGGAAATTTATTATTTCTTCCGATCTACAGTGCCTATTGGCGATGTACTCGTATAAATCGATTTGACTAGATGTTAACTATAGATTCAAAGTTAAATGTATTTACTTTCACGACTATAAATTAGGTATCTCAAAATGTATGCGATTGTAAATTACACCCGAATTAAGCCGGTAGTAAAAATATTAAATTGCGACTGGCGTTTTTTGGATTTTAAAATGGGAATAGTAAATTGTGACAATAGTACAATCGAGTGATGACTTAAACCTTGATAACTTGAATTTATTTTTATTCCTCAGAACACCCAATGCACTATGAACATTCATGATGCTGAGGGAGCTTCTAATAATGTGTTGATTTTAAAACAAATGGATACAAAACATAAGGTTTATTCTTGGGGTGGACTTAGGGGGGGATTTAGGGAGTCAGCTGATCCACAGTTAATATTTGTTAATAAAATTGGCCTTTTGGAAATTTTTTTTCTCTTTTTAGACCTTGATTTGGACTCTTGAACAGTTAGCTCATCGGAGTTTCTTGAAAGATAAATGTCATGTATATTTAAAATTTAAAATTTTTCAATTCATAATTTATATTTTAAATTATATCGTATTAGTAGAAAGTTAAGTAAATCATATTTTATTCCATACGTTTGTTGCGCTGATAAAATTAGATTATATTTATTAATCGTAAATAAGTCATTATCGGCGGTATCACTAATTCTAAAATGTAATATAAATATACTTATACACTTTTATGAGCATATTGTGTTTTTTTTTTTTTACAAGGTATTAATTTCTAATTCAGTTTCATCCCTAATAAATGGCCTCTTGAAATGGTTTGACCCTCAGTTCCCCGACTCTGGATCCACTCCTGGTTTATTCAATGCAATTAATATTGAAAATATTACATCCACAAATGAAAGTTCATAATTAAAAAATACTCTTTGATTTATATCATTTAAAAATATATTTCTATTTTTTTCAAACAATTGGAATCATATGACTATTAATAATTAAAAAAATAATAATTTCCTTGATTAATAGAATAATCATTAATAAACTATACAGGCAATATATAGTGACAGTACAATATTGGACATTTTCAAATGTTGCTTATATTTCTGTTTTATGAATGTAGTCCCCATTTTGTACTTATGATCATTATATTTTGTAGGTTCATAGGCAGATAGATATAAAATGTTATTGTTAAGTTATACACATTTTGCAATCATAAATAATGGCCACTGTCAATGAACACTTTACGTAATTTATTGTATTATTAAATCCACAAAACATTCAAGGAAATGTATTTGAATACAATAATTCAATAATAATCGAATACGCATTTTGAATAAATTTAAATTTAAATTTCATATTTATTATTTGTTTACATTATTCAACTATCTTATACATTTTCTAATGTTTCAATGTTAAAATAAATTAATGACACAAAGGTCTTATGTTTTTTAATTTTTTATTCATTTGAAAAAATAGTTTATAATATTAATCATCCTAGATGTTTTACATTTATTTGTTGCGTACCACTTATAAGTAAAACTTTTTCTTGCGTTGTAATATCTAAATATCTTATTGGTATAGAATTATTTAATAAGTATCCAAGAGTTTTTAAGAATTTGTTAGAAAAAAAAATCAAAAATATTCGAATAATTAAATTTTAAAAAAATATTCTTCAAATAAACAATCTGAATTTAGTTATTAAAATTAATGTATGCAATTTTATTTCATTATTTCAATATATATTATAAATTAAAAATAAAAGTATTTTTAATATATGTGTTACGTTTATTCTAAAGTAACAACGGTATGATAATATCATATATACCATATAACCGTATCTATACTTATGAAATATACCAATATGAAATTTTTATTATTTGAATGAACATTCTGGCTATATAAAATTACGTACATTTAATTAATTTATAATATGACTTTAAATGGCCGGCGTTAAGATAGGGGGATGTATACCCTCTATCTATGAATGATTTATTTTTATATTCAAAAATCATTAATAAATTAAATAAAATTAGTATTGTAGAATTTTGTTTTAGAAAGTAGTTGGAAAATATATATATTTATAACCCACTCCTCACCATAAATATTAGTCAGCCCTATAATAGTTAGAATCACTTCTAGATGCTAGCTGAAGATATTTTTTTTTGTATTAACAATTTTATCTAGATTCATAATATGGAAATATATATGATTTTTAAATTATCCAAATAGAGCAAGAAATTTGTCATGAAAGACCAATTTTTTTTTCGATAAACAAATCAGAAATTAAACGAAAAAATATATTATAATATGCGACCGGTGTAGAGTTTGTTTTGAGATACGCTAAAAATTAAACTTTGAGTTTATGACCGTTAGTTCAAAGTCAAACTAAACCATTTGAATGCCAAATAAATTAAATAATTTGGCAACAGCGTATAACAATAATTTCAGAAATTTACGACAGTTTTCATATTGTTTGGGTTAATTCTAAAATATCATCAACTATACATGTGTTATTCCACTGACAAATGTCCAAGCTTAATGATAATTAGGTGTAACGCAGTCATAAAATTCTTCATAGTTATAATTTTAAACACTTCTAGTAACACGATTTTTCTCAGATTTCTTTATTAAATTGAGTAAAATGTTTAATAAAAGACAATAATGATATGAAATCAATGAAAAATTAATAAACTCTATAGGAAATATATGTGAATAATTAATTTTTTTCTAATTAAAAAAAAAAAAACATCTGTGTCAAAACTATTTGAAATATTGAAAATAAATATTGTATATTACGCGTTATTATGAAATAGCTATTGTGGGAAAATTAAAAAAAATAAAAATGTATACTTATGAATCGAAATAAGAATTAAATGGGGATATGTATATATATTGTATGATGCAGTGTATGTGTATATTAAATTATTTATTAATATTTGATGAGATTAAGTATGGCATTAAAGAATCAACATTAACGCCAAATCCGATGCGCTCGTCAATCAAAATACATCTATGGGAGACACGTTTGTTGGAACGTATGTCATTTAGTCATATTTTGTCATTTAGTATTTATTTATTTTTTGGTCCTGTATAATTCGATCATTGCAGTCATTCATACAACTAAAAGTTTCAATCAAAAGTTAAAAAAACATAACCATATGTATATTATTTAAATAAAATAAACAACCAACAGGTTATACATAAAAAAAAAAAAAATAAATAAATAAATAAAGGTAACTGTAACACCGTATGTAAAAGTATTATGATTATACTCGTAGAATTCATGAATGTAATGACTTAGACTCCACCGATATACGAGTATGTCACATATTAAATCGATAATTTATTAATATTTTGTTAGTGCACTTAAAGCTCAGACGTTAAATAATAGTACAATTATATAACACTTATCGCGTTGAGTTTGATAATCCTACACGCACAATTTATGAAAAATAATGATACTGTAATTTAATAATAATACCTACGAAAAAAAACATATGCAGTTAAAATAATAATAACATACAAAGAGGAGAATTAGTGTAGGATATAATAATATTATCAACCAAATATGGTTACAATCGATCATAATATTATTGTGATACGTCTTACCTTGTTGTGATGTTTTCTAAATAAACGACAGATCGAAGCCATGTATTACCATAGCTTCCAAAACTCCACCATAATCTTCGCATTCGATCAACTTCACCATGAGTTTCGATTAAATAGAGTCCTAAAGAACCGCTATGAGAACCATATTTGTGATAAAAAAAAAAGATATCTGAAATCAATAACCACACGTTAAATAATCATAACATATTTTCAAAAATATGTTTTTGTGATATGTGATTGTATTTTGGATTTATATTATACTGATCATTGCGTATACTAATATTAATAAGTTGTATTTATCAAATATATGTGATATGGTGTAGATATGCGTTAAATAATTTATAAATTCACAAATTTATTTATATCGATATTGAAACTTGAAAACAAAATCATTTATTTTCCATTAGTTTTAGCAAAACGATTTCATATAATTCTAAATAAAGTAAAAAAAAAAATAAAAAATAAATTTAAATACTTTTATAAATTATCTATTAGAATTAGAATTTTTTAAATATCATAAACGCAGCCATGCTTATACAAAATTTATGAATATAATTGATGTAAGTAAAAATATTAAGATAAAAATTATGTCGTAATTGTTTATTGTAATGCTTTAATTAATTAAGTATTTGTATATTAACTATAAATTTTTAAATAAAAATATCGTATTTATATATTTATATGAAAAATTGAAGATTTCAACAAATATTCTGTTTATATGTATAAACCTTATACGGATATTATTTTATTTGTTTTCAATTGGCAGATATGAGAACTACATTATATATTCGTATACATTATGAATACAAAATATATAATTATTTATATGTATATATATTATATATACAAAATAAAATCCAAATGCAATAACAAATTAGTTCTTATTTAAAGAGTTCCCTGTTTAAATTCAAAAAAAGATACTTATATTACTAATATTTTTAAAAAATAACATTAGTCGGAAATGCACAAATCAAAATTATTTCAGAAATTTTTTGTTTTGTTATGAATTTATTTAGGTTTTTTTTTTAGATTGTCTTGGTTGTAGCTTAATCTCAAATATTTTCATACTTATATGTTTTCTCCAAAATAAAAAACGAACGTTGAGATACAAAAAAAAAAAATCATGATTTCGTAATCCGTTAGATGCAATTGTACAAATTGTATTGACGACACTTAATTAAGATATTATCATTTGGTAATACGATGCCCGATTCAAATGATATTTAGCATAGGAAATTATTATTAATGTGCTAGAATACTATAATCACAATTATATTATATCGCGTTTGAAAACATAATATAGTCTATTATAACAACAATACATTTATGAGTTTGAATAAAATCATAAAAAAAATCTTTTAACATTTTTTTTGCACATTTCATAATCGTAATACTGTTGTACTCGTATTCCGCATTGCGCTTTATGCAGATTTGCGTATTTTTCAACGAGAATGGTTTACCAAATGAGTAGGTTATTATATGAAGCTCGATGTGCTTGATGTCATTGATAAGTAAAAATACCTATGGTAGTGATTAAAATATTATATATTTTTGTCATTAATAATAATTAATACTAAAACAATTAAATTTTGTATGATCACTTCGACACCAACGAAGACTTGGATCGAGTAAAAGTAAGCCCTATCCAACTCTATCGTCAGTCACCGTAACGACTGATTCTGTAAAGATAAATACCATATCAGTTTACATTACACGAGTCTCATTTCTTTTAAGCACATTTTTTAACTTAAATTTGTTATTTAATTTCTAATCGACCAACTTGCCATTGTTTATTCTTCAAAAGTTTTGAATGTACTTTATCGCATAATTTACGCCGGGATTATACTACAGGGTTTTCTTACATATTTTGTAAACAAATAGAAAGTTCTGAACAATAAAATTATTCAACAAATATTGAATATAATTTTTAAAATTTCTTTGGTAAAAACTTTACTGTACTTACAATTTTAGAAATATTTATTATATTATATTATTATATTTATTATAAATTATATTTAATTACGCTAAAATATTCATAATAATAAAAAAAAAAAAAAACCCCAACCTTTAATATATAATATATTATACTTATATTAAATATAATTATATTAAAAAATTATACAAAGTCAAATTTTGTCAGATTTAGAAATTATGGTTTATCGGAAAACGTTTTAAATGTGAATAGGGTTTAGTGGGTTTTAAAAATTATTTTATAATGATTTTACAAAATCAAATTTTTTATAATTGATGCTCTGTGTATCAAAATTGTTAATCGAAGCAGAACATTAAACGTAAAAACTTGAAGTAGTTTATGGTAAATAATTATTTTACTAATTTAAATAAACTCTCCATGCACATCATTAATAATTGTGTTTGGTATATTTGCTGCAAGCAAATAAAAAAAAAAAAAGTCCAAATGAAACGATGATTTATTTTAGAACTGTTGTTATATTTAATCTGTAAAATCTCAAGAGCGTGAAAATTAGTAAACACATTACCTTGCTTGGATAATACTATCGTTTATGTATTAATAGTTAATTAAAAAAACCTAACCAAAAAGTTTGTGATTTTATATAGATAATACTTGAATTAGTTTGAATTAATTTAACCCATATTAGAATGTGTAGTATAATATTATTATGATTTATTAGAATTACAACGAAAATATTATATTACACATTTATTATAAAATTGAGTTCTGAATAATGATGGGCAAGGTAAATCACGTAGACCTAATTAAAATGGAAATTACGTGCTTATAATTTGTGGAAAACTTTTTATTATTATGATTTTTTTTTTTTACAGTTTACTTTGTTAAGTTTAAAAAAGTTTACGTATATTAAATATATTTTTATGATTTTTTTGACAATGATTTAAAAAAAATTGAAAATCATCTTTCATAGTATGGTTATTTTTAAATTCATCGTCTATGAATTCGTCAAATATAACTTTAATATTGTTATTCTGATTAAAAAAGTATTTTCCTAGAGAACAATACAGAAATCTATATTATTTTTATCGCTAAAGGTATTTTCAATAATTAAATTTATCTCGGTTTTGCTCAATAAAACTATAGAAAGCGACTAGCAATAGAATAATGATACATATAAGCAAATCAACTTACAATTGTTTCAATAAAGTTATGTTTTTGAATTGTAAAAACAAATTAAAATAAAAATATTATGAAAAAATATAATAATCACATTATTTCTATGTTTAACCTTAACATAGTAAAATTATGAAATGTAATTTATTTGCTTGTATTTTTGATAAAAATAAACGAATAGCATAAAACGGGATGACATTTGTGAGTATATCAGAAAATTAAATCTCATGGTTCTGTATTTTCAATCACATTTACACTCTATGAAGTTCAAATGGAAAATGGAAATAGTTATTGTTCTTTGTTCTTTTTTTCCATTGCAAATTTATATTTTCTATAGTTAAAACATTTAAATATATGTAATAGACATTAGCTGAACTCAAGTAATATTTTTTAAAATAGTTAATCTATCCAGCATCAAAATGTATTATATAATAATTTCGAAATAGATACAGAAAATATCATTATTTAAAATGTAAAAAGTACTATTATTAAAATATAACACGATTATGTTAATTCATTAAATTAAATGATAATGAATTTGCTAATTAAAATGTATAAATATTTTATAATTTTAAATATTATATTAAAGTATATTAAAAATAAAATTAAAGAATACAGTTTGATTATTATTATTATTTATTTTCTAAAGTAGGTATTTGTAGTATAAATATCTATGAACATAAAAAAATCACATTTCTAGGATGAGTAAAGTTGAATCAAATTAGCAAAATTGGAGAGTCAAAGTTTTTAACTCACAAATATATCTTCAGAAATAAATTTACGAACTTCTATGATTTTTAATAATTTATATTTATTATTTATTCCGGTGATAATGCATTAAAAACACATTTATATGATATAAAATTGTACAGCTTGCACAAAAACCGTTATAAATTTGAAGTGACTTAAAGAGTTAAAGGTAATCTCACTATTTTCTCATGCAATACTCTTAGAAGCTCCTTAGTGAGTTCATAAGAATTTGAAACAACTTTAAAGTACCATCTGTGTTAACTTTTCAATCAATAAAAGACCTTTAAGTAAGTTTTAAAATACTTTTACGAACTGACTTTCTGCAGAAAATGATTTTTATATGAGAAAAAAACTTATCATTGATTCATTTAGATTCTAAACCAAGTAAAAATTAAAAAAAAAAAAAAAAATTGTGCTAAGCCATTTTATAATCGATTTAAGAAGTTGAATTCAGACGATTTATCACACGCGTACGTGACCGCCACGGGAGTGTGTGGGGAGTAACGTCGATTAGCGTATGTAATTACCCCTCGTCTAGTATGCCATGTCATGTCGCTTATCTGTTTTTCCATGTGCTAATCATCAGCGCAGCGGTAGAACACAAGTTTTTCCAAAAATACCGCGTGTATTACATTATCACCGGTGTAATCGAAAATGAATCACAAATAATACTAAGTATTTAAAAATTAGATTGTTATATACGTTTTAAAATTATTAAAAAAACAATAGCATAATAAAGTATAATTTCTATTATTGAAAAGTCTGTATGAAATACAAGTCCTCGGTCAAACTACGAATCAGTCATTTTTGTTAATACATTTCCAATGTAAAATGTCATTAATTTTGGTTATATATGTGACCAGAACTAGTTATTTCGCACTGTTTCCTCTACTAAAAATCCTGTAATTATATTTTATTATTTTTTTTAATTAATAATTTTAAGTCGTTTCTAGTGTTACCGTTGACTGGTCATAACACAATTATTGTTGTCCATTATAGTTATTTTTCCATACGTAACCAGTAACCCTTGCCGGCTAATTGTTACCGAGATTCGCACTCACGGCGCGTCAGCCAGCCATCGCCAAATGCACCTCTCGCACGTGCATGCAAATGTCCATTAGCTCTCGAAAAATGAAATATATCCTTGTTTGTATAACAATAAAAACTACTAAAAGCGGAAGTAAATAAAACATATTTCCTGACGTTTGATTGTGTAATTTCGTATGAATGATTGAATTTATAATCTTCTACACTAAGCTCTTTAGAAATCATTTTTTCGATTTAAAATCAAACATGTGGAAAATAAATCCAATGCAATTATTTCATTGGATTTTTTATAAACATATCTTAATTTAAAGGTATTTAAAATTGAAAATTTTAAACTGACTATTAAGAAACATAGGCATTTTATTAAAAAATTATGAAACTAATGAACAATGACTTGAAAATAATATAAAATTTCATTCGAAAGTGTCAATAGTACATAGTCATGTGTTATGACTTAAAAAAGAATATCAAACTCGCACCACCATTATATAATTTTAGAAAAATGGTCTGCAAATAAGTAAATTTTTAAAAATAACAAGTTTTATGAATGATAATGAATAATATTATTAACTCTTTTTTTTTTTTTTTTTTAGTAATTTTCTTAATGTCTTAAAATCATATTAAAAATGTCATGTAGTTTACTCGTAAGATTAAAAAAACTGAGTTCAGAAAGCGCTTTAGAAAGACTAGCTACAATTATTTTTTGAATGTACTAAATTTTATCAATCAAACACGAGTAAATAAATGACAAATGACAAATAATTTGATACCATAGTATTTATTTTTTTTTTTTCATATTTTCCTCGGACATTAATTCAATAAATTTAGTTTCAAATTTCATGATTGATCACTAAGTATAATACAATTTTAATTATAAAACAGCTGATTTGAACAAAAGAACGTGAAATTATTATGTGGTCAACCCATCGAGAAAAATTCTAATTTATGCTTGAATAAAAATAGATTTTTAAAAATAAATCATTTGCTGAGAATAGCGATAGAAGTTCAAAGTGATTTAGTTGTGTGATTTTATGGGGAATATATGATTTATATTTCAAATTATATTTGTTATAATGGCACTACGTTACATCGATATGCTTACTTTATCTCTTTTGTTAAGAAAAAAAAAAAAGAAAAAAAAGCGATTTCGATCAGTTTTTCTGTCATTATTGTGGCGTACACCTCGGGCTGTGATCATCTGATCAGTAGGAAATTTGAATAAGTATCGTCTATATATTTTAGCTATCAACCCTTGTGGACATCAAATCAATTAGTTTACTAGTTTTAGGATTTTTGAAGCGTTCGACCTGTTTTCCTTGAAATTAAACTGATTAAATAGGAGTTGGCCGTTTGGTATAATTATACACACCGTCTTTGCGCTTTATTATATGCATTGGGCTGCAATCTGTTTATATTCTAGTAATATTAAGTAACAGGATGCAGCTGATAGTGTTTAAGTAATTATGTTTGCCTGGACGCATGTAGGTATATATGGTAAGAACATTGTAATGTTTTACTTACATAACATGTGTTGAAATATTTCGACTGTTGGTCAGAACAGTACGGAGGCGGTGGATGAAAATGTATGCTCTCCATGCGTGCTGCCGACCCAAGATAAGATGGTCCGGACATATCTACGTAAGCGTATGTCCCTACAACAAAGTTAAGTTTTAAAAGTTAATTATTTGAAAAAAAAAATAATTAAAAAACAAAATATAAAATCCATTGATTTGTGTGACATTTAAAGCGTTACCAGATCGGTTTTGATAAGTATTATCCCATTTTGGTCCGGTGAACTTTTGTCGATCACCTTTGTTCAGTTTCCATGTCAGAGACATTTCTTCGGACGTATTTTGCCAGCCACAGAACCCCGATTCGAATGTACATCGGGCTTCGGGGGGAACAAGCACTAAAATCAAATTACAAATATAATAATTGTGTAAGTATATTTAATTATTTAACATTCGGTAATAACCAATAGTAGTTGTGTGTAGTATATATATATAGTGTATATTAATCGATTAGGTTTGAAATAGATAAAGTATAAATCAGAGCGCGCATTTGAAAACAGCACCTAACCGATATCTTTTTCCGTTTTGTTTTTTATGTTTATAGAAAATGTCAAAAATTTTTGATACTCACATTGAATATACAATTTGTATATTTATTCGGTTTATATTTTAGGAAGGAGGAAATATTTGTTCAATTTCTGTGAATTCTATAATTCCATTTCTGTGTTGGAATATCATATGGATAGAGTGCAAACAAACAAATATTTTCTGAACAGAAAATTGAAATTACTGAAGTAAGTCTTAACATTATACGTTGAATTTAGTGTTTTTAGTCCAATTGTAGTCATAGAAATTTAACGATTTGATTTTCTTACCAAAAATAAACTGCTTAACATTTTACGTCCGATTACTTATCTTATTTGTTATGTATGAAAATTCTAGTCGTTGTCCCGGGGTATAATTTATTTTTTCACGCTTACAAGTGCTGAATAGTATAAATGAAAATCTACATATACAAAATAAACCTTATAGAAACATACAAACGAGTATACCGATAGAATATAGTTCCATTGTGTCTACATCGTCGTTTTAAATAGAAACATCGAGTGAATGAATCTATTTTAGAATAAATTATATTTTTTAAATCATAATGTCTGTTTTCTATATATATGAAAAAAAAAAATAGCATAAATTATTCGAATATCATTGTAATGGTAAACGTTGTTATTTCTATGGCAAAACCTGTCAAAAACAGTCTTCTATTTGTAAGAAAAACAGTATACAGTGTATTTGATCCCACGAAAATTTCATTGCAGATATAACAGAAACGATAAACCGGAAACTTGTCTAAAATGGAATATTTTTCAGTCCTCAAGTTATTACTGAATGTATCGAACATTTCGCAGACCCCAACAATGTCATGTAAATTCAAACTTAACAACGGCCAATAGTTTTACTAGTGGTAAATCTTTATCTAAATAATATGGACGTTTTGTTCTTGTTTTTTTTATTGTTTTTCGAGACTGTTATGGGAAAAAATTTGTATATTCTTTAAGTAAATACTTTCTTCGGTACATATTTAATCTCTTCGGCATTGAAACCTTTCGCTATTCACATAGTGCAGTAAGCAATTTTACGAAGTTTCCGAGTGTTGAAATACACGAATAAATGTATGCCGTCTAAAACAATGGTTTGTTGGGCAACGCGTCTGATGTGGAACGCACAAAACAACACGATATGATTGGAAATTTAAATAACCGTGATGTCCGATGGTGTAACGGTGTTTGTTACGGTGATAATAAACATAGGCGCTTGCGCGAGTTACATGAATTGATACAATCGATACACAATACACATGCGACAACAATTATGGTTTTCGGTGGACGGTCCATAACGCGAGGTCATGGTTTTCCGATCCCGGAACACACATACGGACAGACCCGGTGGCGGTCCGCGTCTACATCATTTAAATACTATTTAATTTACTAATGACTTATATTTTCATTAATTTAGTATTATTTTATTTTCAACTAGTCTAACCTAATATAACTTAACCGAACCAGACCAGGACACATCTGCGGTAATGCTATACTATAGCTTAAGGCCGAGTAATATATAACCGAAACCGTGTCACGTCGATGCCTTGTTAAAAGTCATATTATTCATAATCCAAAAAAAATAATAATTTATGAAAATTAAATATTGTTTATAATACGAGATAGGAAATTGTTTACTTTAAATACGCTATAATTGCCAAGATTCCGCGCGGATTTGAGATTTTATGATAATACATTTTCAGTAATTTATTTTTGATAACATTTTTAGTATTTTATCCATGTATGATTAAATAATAATTTTCTAAAAAAATAAAAATAGTGTACTCCATGTATGCTTATGTATATTAACTGTTAATAATTAATAGCAATCGTCGCAAAATTAAATTAAAAAAAAAAAAAAAAACAACTACCCTTGCCACACTTGAGTGACATTAATTGATTTTTTGCCTAAATGCAATAATTTTTAATTAAATTATTATTAGTAATTAAGTGTTATTAATTTAAAATTGTAATATTATTTGCTTATTATTGCTTACTTTGAGTTTATGAGTGAAAAATAATAGCTGTGTATAATGTTAAGATAATGTAAGATGTAAATATATGAAGATAATATCGGAAGAGTTTAAACTACATGAAGGCACGGATCTAGAACTAAAATTGGGGGAGGTTATTTTTTTGAAAGGACAAAAAGATAATATAGAATTACAAAATAGTTAAAGTAAATTATTAATTAAAAAAAATTAAAATTAGAGCGTTATTATTAATAATTTTGTAAGGCTACAAGTCTCTAAACCTAGTTATTAATATATGAAATTGTTAATTTTTAAAATTAAATGACAAAGTTTAATCTTCTTTGTTTTATTTTTCCAAATTTAGAAATAATATTATCAACATTTATGGGTAGTTCTTGTGAATATTAAGCAAAGTGAGACCGACGAAGCGTTCCTCTCCCATATTTGAACGAAGCCATGTCTTAAGGCGCCTGAGAGTAGAGAATAATCGCATGTATAGTATTATTTAACAAGTTATTAGAGTCTAAATTAACGATTAGCGGTGCCATAGCAAGTATATTGTATATTATATAGATATACGGATAACGGGTAGACAGTAATCTTGTCTAAGATAAATTACTTTTCCGTCGAAGGTCGAACACTCAAACATTTTCGCAGATTTACTATTATATTTATATTAAATACAAATTTTATTCGCCAACAATATTATAGTCTGTCGGTAAGTTTATAATCACTATTAATATTCTTAGAAGATGGATGGAAATTATGATTTTATGAATAAGTGGTGATTTAGTTTAAATGTAAACATAAATATAATATGTTTTATGCTATTTTTATTGCAAGAAAAAATCTAATTGAAAAAAAAATTGAAAACGCAATTTATGCACATAATCTTGATGTTTTTCTGGGAGGGTCATGACCCCCCTCCTGGATCCGCGTCTGGTTACATGAACTTTACATCGATACGCGTGTCGGTAATGCAATTAATCAAGCCAATTGACTTTATATACTTTAGAAACTATATTATTTATTCGTTTGAATTCAACATTCAGTGAATTTTTAAAACTAATGACTGCATTTAATGCTTGTGGTTTCTACCCCCTCCTTATTTTCGACTATTACCTCTGGCGCTAAAGGTGTTAATATTAATGCTTGCCCGGATACTCGAAAAGCGAATCGACTTACGTGTAATCGAACAATTACCGTTTAGCATCGTATGTTCAACTTACTTAGATAAAATACTATTATTACTAGGTCATTGTAGACGGCAACTAAAATTAATAAATTACAGTAGAAAAATTGCACTTACAACAGTTGTCGGTTTCGTCCGTTTCATCGGGACAATCCGGACTGATATCACAAACGCGGTGATACGGTATGCATGTCATGTTGTCAGAACACAAGAAATGCGAGTCGGTTGGACAACCACTGTCGGTTATGCCAGTAAAATATTCTAAAATTAACGATTTTTAATGCAATACAATAATTATTTTTACAGTTTATTTCATAAAATATTAAATATATGCCATCGAGAACACAATAATGTAGTATAAGAAAAATGAATAAGCAATAATGAACTAATATTAGTATACGAGTATTAAGTTGTGTTGTAATGTCATTGTGTGAAAATCCTGAAAAACGATTATTTAATTATTAATTATTGTTATTAGTTAAATCGAATAGTTCAATTCTAAATTATAGTGTTCATTTTCATTTACTGTTCACACGGAACAGTCTTAACGGGAACATATATTTTAATAGATTATTATCTTACACTATTTCAAGCTTAGTTTGGTATAACTATTGGTTATAAAACAATTAAAATGAAATTTTAATTGAATCCGTATGGTATTATTTCCTATAAGCAGAACTACCCAGTTCTTCAACATGGAACCGTGTTTGAGAATTTTATTATTTTTTATATCCCTTCTTATAGCAAGTATAGAGTATAGAGTATTGAAGAGACTACTAAGTCTCATTTAAATTTTATAAATTTTGTCGTTTTTGAAATATAACAATGATCAATGAGTGAGTGGTATTTGCATTTCTTTTTTAGATATTTATTTATAGCTAAATTACCCAATGTTGCTTCGTAAGAAAATTGTGATTGTTCAACTCCTATTGGATGTTACTCGCTGAGACGTAATACCTCTTTTAAGTATAAATCACTCGAAATGACCCTTAAATCACATTATTTTGAATTTTTTTCATATATTTTTAATTTTATTTAATTTTACTTTTTTATTAATTTATAAATTGAATAAATAAAATTATAAAGTTAATGATTAAAATTAAATTATTTTAAATATTTTCATAATTTCTAAATTTATTTTCATTTTTTTTTTTTTTAATTTATTTAATTTTCACTTTTTTTTATTAATTAATTTAAATACCATTGTTTTTAAATTTAGGATATTGTAATATATTGTAATATAAATAGATGTGATTGTCGTTTTTGGAGAAAATAGTCACTTTTGGAAATTATTTTCAGTAAAACAAACACGTTTAGAATTTTCTAGTTGCACACTGAAGCTTATGACTAAGGTTCTTTTCCGTTTATTTCGGTTGCTATAGCAACAACAAAACAAAAACTACTCGTTTGTTCCTTATCAAGTTTATTGATACTTTACATTAATTTTTTCGTGATAAAAGTTAGCCTTTGTTATTCTCTAATGTCTAATCTATCTCTTCTATTATATTTCATCAATATCGGTTATGTAGTTCAGAAATGTATAAAGGACATAGATAGAATACATTTTGTGTTTTCTAAGCATGTATATAATATCAAAATATAGGTAAGTTGTATAGTAATTTTTAGTATTTTCAACAATATTATTTAAAATTGAAAAATCAACGTGTTAGAAAAAAAAAAAAACGAAAATTCTTTGAAAAAAATTAATATATTTAGCTATAAGCAAAACGAGATAAATAAATATCGTTAAATAGTTATACAAAGTAAAATAATCTTATATTAGATATTTTGACAAACACTGAAATAACTCGGATAACAGAAGGTAAAAGTGATAAAAAAAAAAAAAAAAAATGAATTAAGTTATTGAAACCCTCAGTTACACATAAGATTTGAAATAATGCCCGACAAGGCCTTTGATATTTTAATGCTTCATATAAATATATAAATAAATAAACAAATAATTTGCATAATATTGTTTGATTATAATGAACTAGACATTCAATACAAGAGTGTAAGGACAATACTACCTTTGAGTATTATCTCTATATTTTTTTTTTTTTACTAATAGTGCATCAAAAAATAATAAATGATTTAACACAGTGGAATCCCGCTATCTTAAAATTTCTGTGTCAATTTTTTTTCAGCCCCGATCACTCAGTATTGGGCTTACGTGTTATTTCAGTATATCGAATTTTCATGTGTTGAATTCTTCTATAAGTCGACGTTATTATCCGGTATCCACTGCCTATTACGATTTACTAACTCAAATATAATATATTCGAGTTAGTGAATCGTAATCGAGCATTTTATACTTTATCTAATCTATTATATAATGACAGATCAGATAAAGTATAAAATGCTCAGACTATAAAATATTAGTAAATGACAGAGCTTATAACACAACGTTGTAATAACATTGTTATTTAATTATAGTCCAGATAGTGGCCGATAACGGTGTTAAAGTTATATTCATGAACTTCAAAGATACTTCCAACAACAGTCAGTTTTTGACAATATTTTTTCTACACTTAATAGTTTAGGTAGTTTCATTGAAAATACTTCTAATGCTAAACAAAAACAAACAAAAATGACAGATTTTCTACTTTCATAGAAAATAATGTAAATGACCAAAATATAAATAAAATAAAAAAAAAATATATAAATACTTAAATGACGAATACTAATATGTAGATATAATAATTACATATTTTTCCTCCTAATTAAACATTTTTATTTCAAATTGTATTTATGTTTTAAATTCCCTAGGTAACTCAAAGTTTTGATACGACGAATTTTTTTTTTTTGATCCCTCTCGATTTTGAGATACCGAGGTTTCACTGTTAGTTACTCTTCTTAGTTTGATAATTTTGATATTTTGAATGATATAATATTATTATCAAGGCAATTGAGTTATTACATATTATTTATAATTATCATGATATACTCTTTTATGATTTTTTCACTTAAATATTTTTTGTGGACCCATGCTATAACGGATGATATAATATTCGAATGGTATCAGTTCAATCGAAAATAGTTATTTTTGTTAACATTTTAAATCCATCAATGGATTAATTTCCATCAACCAAAATAATATGTTTATCTTTAAATAATAAAACTGAAAATGATTAATATTGAACTATAATAATTGTTATCTCCATACAAAAACCGAGATGTAAAACAATAATATTTGAATGGGCTTGATCCTAATTTATGAATTCTATTATGCTGTACTAAACAAACATATTATCCCTTTTATTAACAATAAATTAAAATTGTTCATGATTCCATAGTTATTTTTCAACACAAAACTGTTTAATGATAACTTTTCACAAATATTCATTTGCATGATTAATCAAAAAATAATACATAAATATTCAGGGTCGGGAAAATGTAAATTTATACTTATGTTAATTATAATAATAAAAAAAACTAGGTAACTAAAAAGAACCTGTCATGCTAATCTTTGTCGATTTATACAGAAATATAAAATATTACCTTATTTTTTTTTAAAAAAAAGTGTATTTCAATCAATTGTTTATATTAGTGGATCATTAAAATAGCAATAGTATATTTTACTCATCGTGATTTTAACTTAATTCAACAATGTCTGATTTATTTTTAAATTTGAATTTCTAATTTAACTGGTGTTTAAAATGTTTAATAAGTCAACCTTTATAATATAATGAATAACAAATCGTTAATTTGTAAAAAAATTAAAATTATTGATCCTAGACATTAATCACAGGTAGATTAAGGGTTCCAAAACAGGATGATACAACCTTGAATTGAACCTTGGTCGTGAAATTATTAAGTTGATTTTCACAATTGTCAAGATAATACAAAATATTATTAGATAAATGACTCGCTTGATAGAAATATAAATACTACTTGATGTAATCTTAAAGAGGAAATTAAACTTGATGAAGTACAAAACAATCGAACAGTTTTATCAAAACACAAAAATGTCTAAATAAATTACGTTTGAATTCATGACGTAAAAATGCATGCTCATATTATCGGAAAATTGTGGATAAGAATTTCTTTGTATTTAACGTCATTTACGAGAACAAAGATTTCCTTAACTTTTGAATATAAATAAACAAAATATAGAAATATAAATAGAAAAAATGTAAATTATAATGTGTTCGTGTTTATCTCTATCTTTATATATATTATTAAAACGTGAGGCGATTTCTTATGACAGTTATATTTGAAGTTCTACTGGATCGATTTTCATGATTCTTTTTCCTAACGAAAGTACTCGGTGTGTAGATGAGCCATCAAAAGAGAGAAGTCCAAAAAAATAATTATTTAAATAGTTTTTATAAGTATAATTTTTGCCGTAATGATAAATTAACATTATCTATTCAACATGATTTAATTGATAGCGCAAATCAAGAACAACGTGATATTATATGCGTATAATATTTATTTTATTGCAAATTAATACATTCAGAACCTTATGTATGTTTGTCTTATTGTTAATAATTGTATTACTTTGTTATATCATACATTTGTTATACAATTGTGCTTATTATTAAATATACAATTTTTGGAAATCTTATACGTATTATTTTTTCTATACCTAGTTTAGAATTTTCAAGGTTAAGAAGAATATTTTTATAAATATATATTATACATATTAATATTCTAATTAATCATTATAAAGTTCTATGTAATTTCATGAGTATACCCATGAAACTATAAAAAAACATGACAGGAATATAACATTTTAATATATTTACTATAACAAAATAAAAACATAACTGCGACAATTTTTAGTAATATTAATTTTATATTTCAGAGTACCATAAATGTAATATAAACTTAACTTACAATTCAATTATATTGTACAAAAACGTTAAAATTATGTTTAAGAAAAACATAAATGGAATATAAACGTAACATACAGTAAATTTATGTTTTATTTACTGTTTCAAACAACACGCCATATTGCGTTATCGGAATGGTTTTGGAACTCTAATGGAAGTTTCGTAGGAACGTTTCAAAGTTCCATTGGAATATTCCTTTTATATAATTGTCACTTTTTTTTGCACGGTGGGCGCACTATTATGAAATATGCGAGTATTGAAAATACAAGAGATCCTAACCCATACTTTATTGATGGACCTGGCGGTACAGGGAAAAAATTCGTCTTTAAATGCCTTATTAATAATTGTATAAAAATGGGTTACGATGTAATTCCGGTTGCTTGGACTGGAATAGCAGCAATGTTAATACCCGGAGGTCACACAGTACATAGTCGATTTAAGTTACCTTTGATTTTGACAGATACTTCAGTTTCATAATTAAAGGTTAATAGCAAGGAGGCATCAACTATTCGAAAATCAAAACTTATTATTTGGGACGAAGCTCCTATGAAAAGTGCGTATGCGTTAATGGTTGTTAATCGATTATTAAAAGATATAATAGAAAACGGCGTTTTCTTTGGTGAGAATGTTATTGTCTTGGGAGATTTTAGACAAGTTTTACCAGTTGTAATTTAAATGTCATCTCCAATCTAATGAATGGCACAAGATTTATTGTACGAAATATGTATGATTATTATTTAGACATGGAATCTCTAACTGGTCAGCGTATTTTATTGCCTAGAATTGATTTGACCCCCATCAGATTCAACTCTTCCCTTTTCATTTATCAGACATCAATTTCCGATAAGAATAGCTTTTGCTATGGCAATAAACAAAGCGCAGGGTCAAACATTGGATAAAGTAGGACTGTATTTACCCCAACCTGTATTTAGTCATGGTCAACTTTATGTTATCATGTCCAGAGTTAGATATTTTGAAAAATTAAAAATACAAATAATACCAAACAACAAAAAAGATGCAATGAATATAGTTTATAAAGAAATCGTGTAATAATAATACACAAATTCGTTGAACTTTATTTGTTAATCAATTTTTTTTGTTTTGGGTGAAATATTTACAGTTTTCCCGTTATATTGCGTTATATCCGTTATAAATATATTGCGTATACTTTCTATAGTATTTATAAATGTAATTAAAGCTTAAAAAATTAAATTATTTTCCATTTTATGTTTTTTTTATACGTTAATTGCACATTATTCTAACGATGTATACAAGATACATCCTTTATATTTATTTATTATATTCAATTATTCAACTATTTGATTTTTTTTACCATAACCCGGCAGCGACGGGTAATTCAGCTAGTATATTATAATTTATAAACTATTACAAAGTTCTTCTAAATTGTTAGTAGATACCCAAGGTGGCCGCAAGTCAATAAAGGTTGGAAATCTCTGATTAGATCAATCGAATGCTACATTTTTTATCAAGTAAACAAAACACATTTGCAATTAATATTCTATGAATTGCGTTTTACTTTGTTTGTGTGAACCATTCGGTGAACAAATATAATAAAACATAATGAAAGATTTTAACATTTTGTCTATCACAAAAAACCAAAAAAAAAAAAAATCATCCATTAACGAGAGAAAAATCTAATGATTCGAATTACGTGGACTGAAAGTCAAATAATGTTGACCATATTAAATGTATTTTCTAAGGTGAATTAAAATTTTTTTTTAAAAAAAAGAAAAAAAAATACATTGTGAATTAAAATATGTTGCAATGTCCAACGAATAAGAATGGTTACTTTATAAAATAATATAAAATGTGTTTAATATTATAATTATTAATTTTACAATTATTTTTAAATAGATACAATAAGTGTTTTATATAAATACAATAAGGTTTAAAAATAATTTAATGGATTGATAATAAAAAATCTCATTTTATAAGAAAGAAAAAAATGTAAAACCCTTATATATATATATATATATTTCAGAGATACTCTTTTGAGATAGGATACATACAGGAAGATTGGATATAAATGAGATGGGAAACAAATCAAATTTTTAGTAGGATTAAGTATTTTTTACATATTAATGAAATATGGCTCGATTTTTAATTTTTATTTGTTTTATTTCAATCGTCAGGCAAAAAAAACAATACTGAACGAGAGTAGGTAAAATGAAATTAAATTATGTCTCCTCTTCGTTCTATTGTATTTGTAACTCGAATGAATCACGTTTTAAAGAAATTTTTTATTATTATGTTTTCTTTTTATAAAAAATCTAATAATATATTTTAATAATATTTTCAATAAATGCGTAATTTATTCTTAGAAACATGTACAATAATGTACGTAACATTCTAATACATTTAAAGATGTCGGAATAGTAATAAAAATTGCAATTTTATTGTGTATTATTACAGTTAAAAAATAATAATAATAATAAAAAATAATTTTCACAACTCCCGAAATCATTAAACTATGCTCTAGTATTTTGATGAAAATACACGCATATTTATATTAATTAATTTGAGTTTAATCCAGCGATTTTTTATTTCCATCCATGAACTATATTATGTGTTGATGCGGTCATTGACTTGCGTGGATTTTTAATACCTTAGCATTACTTTTTGTATAATCCGCAGTAAGGACGTTGGGGTGTTCACATTGAGCATCTTCATCAGAGGCTACAACTGTTGGTTATTTTCTACCGGTCGAAAGTTCAGAAAAGTAATGTATTAATGGTTTCGCGGCTAGAAACTCCGACAGTTTCCGTGTCCGGTCGCTAGCAACGCCAGCCAGTGTTCAACCGCAACACCAATCAGTGAATGTGGCTAACCAACGCGCCACTAGAACTCAACGCAAGACAAATAATTTCGTATAAGAAACGTTAAATCACATTGATCACCGTAAAGTACCTAATTATATCCCACCCTCAAAGGATTATTTCCAAACGATTTGGCCACTACATGAAACTTTATGTGTCATTTTATTACTGCTTGAATAAATGAGTTAAAAGAATAAATAAACATCATTGTAGCAAAACTTTGTCACTCTTCTTTATTTAAATATTTGAAATACAAGTTTAACATTTGAATAGGTACTTGAACATTATATTATTAATATTTTAATATTATACTGTTATATATTAATTTAATTGAATATTATCAATACCAATATTATAGTTCCGCCCATAACAGATGATAAATTAATATTCCAAAGATATCAATCCCTCCCACTGGCGAGAACTTCTTTGTTCTTATTTACACCAATTATTAATCAATTTATATTATCATGAAATTACTAATATTTTTCCATTTATCGTTGTATTGTTACAGTAGTGTTTTTTTTTTTTTTTTTTTTTTTTTTTTTTATTTTATTAGCTTTTAGTATACAACTATGATAGCTCCACAGTAGTGTTATTATGTAAATTCTTTTGAATTTACTATGGACAATATTATTTTAACGTCTCGAATTATTCATTTTCTTAATTGTTTAAATATACAAGGACTATTTGTTAATTTAAAAAAATTAATTCAAAATAAATAAATTCTAAAATAATTACACTCCCATACGTTTTACAAATTTAAAATGTTTCATTTCTCTAAAAGAAACGAAATATTTATTTTTCGCTTATATAGTTAAAATATAATTCACAAAGTTATCCACTTATAAAGATTTACATAACAAATTAATATAAAATGTTGTTGATTATATTTAGTTAAAAATAAAAATAATTTAAATATTTTTTTTTTTTTTATAATAACCACACAAATTAATATAACATGACATTTTCATGGAAGTCTTGTCATAAATGTTGATACACTTTATATTATTAATTTTTGTTAGCTGTCAATAAGTCTAATTTTGTTAAATGTACAATAAAGTTAATAAAAAAAAGTATTCATCTTGGAACATTATTTTAGTTGATTGTATGTAAGAGTTGAGATTATTTATAATGACACTAATTTGAGTGTTGAGTATATAGTCACTTACCAGGTAAACAATCTTCTAGTTTAATATCATCGATGGCGACATGTGACCCAGGCTTGACGTTTATTTCAATAATTACTTGTCTTGTTTGCCGACCCAATAGTACTTTCTTTTTCTCCCAAATGCTAAACAGTACATGAAAAAATATTGCTAAAATTAAATAATGTTAGAAAAATTAAATATTTTGAGTTTATCGTAAAAAACTTATCTAAATATTAATATTACTAATTTTATACTGTTTTTAAATAGGCATACTATATGATAGAAAATACTTAAAATAATTAATGAAATAATTAAGTACAACGAATAAGATTTTCATATTCTGCAATTTATCTTAAAAAAAAAAGTTTTACATGACTTCATAAAAATAGACAATTTTTTTTCTCATGTACATTTTCTAAATAATTATTGCAATAAAAATGCCGAATATAAATGATAACTTGATACACTATTGACAATTGAAATAAAATAATTGTATTGTGAACAAAGATCTTCTTTTAATGTTATTTTTTTAGCAAAATTCTAAGCTTGTAAAATTAATCTCTTGATCAAGACAATTGATATGTAATTTTAATAATCTGAAATTGTGTTACCTGTACGAAGTACAGGACAATTCTTAGTGCTAAAATTAATTTAACAATAAAATAAAAATATTCATCGTTGTTGAAACATGTTTTACTCTATAGTAACTTTTGATTTTACAAATAAAAACTACATTTCGGAAAATAAGATTTTAATATATTTTACGTGTTCGTAGATAAAAAGTAAGAAATACAGTGTGTAACAGATCTATTTGACTAATGCAATAACTTTTTTTTTTTTTTTGTAATGATTCCTAGAGCTGTGCGCTATAATTTTTATATGTTATATTTTATTTTTTTGCAACTAAAAATAAATAATGTAAATTGTGTATTAAATTCTGCGACAGCAGTCTCTGTTGTACACGCACTTCGTGTACGCTCCGTTCTCAAAGTATTTGTTTATACCTACCTTCAATTTTACGTTGTTTAGTAACAAAAGTGTGTACTATTTATTTATTATTTATTTTTTTTATTAACTTCTATTATCATTTAAGATAAATATTTCTCACGTTTTTCCGCCCTCGGTTTGTAATATTAAACTCGTAATTCGACAATCCATCTTGTGCGGCAACTACGTACGTACGTACTCATACGTTGTTTACTATCGTAGGTCACCGTGGTGACCTTATTATTTTATATAAAACTCACTGACGCACTATTACTCTGCCTTTCTATGCCGATTCCGTTACCTCATTAACCGACTTCATAATTAATAAATATAACATTAAATGAATAACAATAAAAATAACTCCGGTATCGATTCTAACAAGAATTAAAATGGTAAATGCAAATAACATCACAACTAATAGTTCTGCAGATGATATGATTCAGAACATTAATAAAAGGCATGTTTCAGACTCTTGTAATCCTACTTCACCTCAAACCCAGCAATCAAGTGCTTATAAAAAAATATTTTCGTCTTCAAATCGTTTTGAAGTTCTGTCTCAAAACACAAATCTAGATAAAAATTCAAAGGTGGTCTCTGACGATAATCTGGACACAAACACTAATCCTGTTATTGAACCAATGGTTTCGCAAACAATTAAAATCCCTCCTCCAATTTTTGCTCATGGAATAAGAATTTTCTAGAGCTTTGTAACGACTAATTGAAATAATTGGCATTGAAAACTTTGTCTGCAAGTCATTCACAGACCGTCTATAAATCTAAATCACCACTCTCAATGCCTACATGTCACTAATTCACTTTTTGAAGGAGGAAGAGATAGAATACCATATTTATCAGCTAAACAAGATAAGTCTATCCGTGTTGTAATTTGCAATTTACTTCCAACAACACCAATCAGTCTCATCAAATCTGAGCAAAAAATTCTCCAATATCCTCCAATTTTAAGTGAGAAAGGCGACTAATGTACTTCATAAAACAAGTAAATACCCTTTATTTTTTAATTAGTATGATTTTTATCTGGTATTCTCAAAGGTTGTAGACCCTAGTCTTAAAAAGTACATGAAAAGTTGACATTAATTATTCCATTAATTTCAAATTATTAACTTAATTATTTCCTGAGTTATATTTTATTCTTAAAAATTATGTGAAAATATGAACATGCTATAAAATATTCAGAGAAATACTAACATGTTTATTTATAGGTATTTAAATTATTGAAGAATAAAATAATGATGACTTAAAATAAGTAATAGTGCATGATGTTATAATCACATTATGACAATAATTTGTTAATAATTTAGTATCAATAACCGTGGTGTTGGCCGTTGGGTATGCATCACGTAGTCATGTTAAAATATGAAAAATATATTTATTGACGCCTTTCTTTTACTCGTAATAATAACAAATTTATTATTCCTAGGAAAAAAACAGTTCAAAATCGACGACAGCAGTAACACTGATTAGTAAAAAATAAATTTGAATTTTAACACACTTTAAAAATTGTTTAAAAATTAATAACATAACCAAATTATAAGTTTTAAATGCTAAAATTGTTTTTAAATACTTATATATAAAATAGCTTTCTTGGATTATAAGAATAAATGTGATAAAAAATTTAAATTATTTATTATTAGTTGTAAAAAATAATATAAAATATAACATATAAAAGTTCTTGTAGATTGCAATATACTTAATATTAATTAAAATCAATGGGTTAACTTATTTTATCGATCAAATTAAATACAGTATTATTTCACAAAATAATTTTAATAATTCCTACATTTTATGATTTCAATAAATATATTTATAAGTACTGGACATCAAGATATCTTATCAATCGGTATTGAAAGTTATCTTACGAGACGTTTTAATTTTTCATAATGGTATGTTTAAATTTACAGGATATCACAATAAAATAACTCGATTGTTTTGTTTTTGTTACCTTCAACAATGTTTTATTAAAATTATCACTACATCTCGAATTTTAGAACCACACATTCAATTGTGCGTATAATATCTGAGTACTGTTATACTTACATTGGGTTATTGTTCTCCACGTTGTCCTGAATTAATGAAGTATAATTTTCGGTCTTAAGCATTATCGATACTTGACTGGGCACCGTGACGTTGGTGTGCATTTGAAATGATAATGAACACCCGATATTATCGAATACACCCACGGTGTAGTAAGGACTCAGTATATAGATATGGGGTGTATTTTCATGGCCGTAGACGAACAAGAAATTTCCTGAGAACAAACAAAAAGCAGTAAATTAAAAGTTTGTAATACAAATCATAACACCGTAAGTCGCTATATAAATCCTGAAATATGTGAAATATGAAAAACAATATTCTGTTCAATTTTTTATTTTTGAAACTATTTCTGTCTTAAATTATTACGAGAATATTAATTATTAGTTGGGATTTTCCCTAGACAAAGGTGCGCAAGAAATTATTTCAACTGTATATTAAATAAGGTGTTACAATATCGTCAGTGGGTTCTTTATGACATAATATTACACAAATAATATCAAATCCTTGAAATAGTTAACATTTTAATTCTATTAGAAAATTTGTGGATTTTAAAATGAGTAATAACGAGTTCATTAATTATTTAACTTGAGAGAACCTAACCTTCTATATTTTTAAACGATCCGTTAACATTTCCCTTCCTAGTTCTTTAACGAATTTCAATATACAATTTGTACACAGTACTAACATTATACAGTTAAAATACTTCAACGGATCTTAAAAATAATTACATGAATTATTTTGTACATGGCTATTACATGACTCATTCAAATACACGTGAGTCTTATATTCTTATAAAATAATTATATTCTAAGAGTTTAAAAAATATATTTATATCGTACGTGAAATGTATTAAACAATCGTGCAGTCACAAAAAAAAATCATAAAAGATCCTTTTAAAAAAAGATATACATTTTTATACTACGAGTATATAATAAAACATCACCAAAGGTATAATCATTACAGTTTCAAGAGGTAATATTTTTCATAAAACCGTTTCACATCTTGTATGTTTATGCCATTGATATTTAAAAAGCTTCTATATAATGTTACATTGCAAGATAAAATGAATACCATCATATTTATCAGAGTCCAATTTCTTGCTATTTATTTTAATTACGTTTTATTTTACAATTTAAGATATTTCTACAAGTTATATTTTATAAAACAATTTTAATTAATTTAAAATATCATCCGAACAGGGGCGTATTTAGACTTACTTCTAGGGGGGGGGGGGGGACTTAAATTTTTTTTTTATTCAGGCTCAACATTTACAAGTAAAATTGTTGGTAGTATTTATATCAGGTGAATCCTTAATATTTGTATTTTTTTTTTTTTTTTTTAATCTAATGCCGGATCCACTTGAAATGGTCTTTTGTGTAGTTCTTTTTTAACACCTATATTTGTTTTGAAAGTTTCGCTTATGTTGTATCTAATTTTTCACTAAGTATGGTCTTCAATCAAAATAATATATATTATTTATCGTTATGGGACATATAAACATTATAAGCAATTGAGCGATTACAACTATAAATAATTTAAACGTTATTCAATTTAAGCTTTTAAACGTTGTACAAATTAAACCTTTAAAAAAATTTTCATTTACCATTATTGACAGTTAAAACGTTATGAAAAATTTAACGTTTTGCGTTATTTAAATTAATGTAAAATTTGAAACGTTTTCTAATGTAGTAATACTATAAAATAAATCATAATTTTTGTTTCTTAATAAAATACCCATTACTTACATAAAAATTTTCTTGGTCTAAAAATTCTCGGGGGGGGGGGGCGGATTCCCCCCCCTCCCCCCCCCCCCCATCAAATACGCCACTGCATCCGAAATATTTAAAAATTATGAAATTAGATACCAGTCGGTTTGATAAAAACTGCAATTATAATATTTTATCATAATGCCTATTATTATATCCTTAAATTCAATTGAAGAAGACAATCATTTAAAAAATATACAAAATTATTAGTATATAAATTTCATAAACAAATGAACGATACCAGATATCAGTGTTGATGAGTATATTAAACGTAGAATATAATTGAAAATGTAATATTTCAATTTATGGAATATCAATAGTTTGATTGAGTTGATATTAAATTCGTGGTAGACCTTAAAGGATGCATCATATTGAAGTTCCGGCCGGCAATGTGATTTTAGCAGACTAGAATTGATATGAGTCAATTTAACCTATTATTAAATTGAATTATATGATGACTTCGACGAAAGAACATTCGACTGCAAGCGGTTTAAACAGTTACCGGCATAATTTCTTAATACACATAGTTTCGCCCAAGTGTGGAAATCAAACAATTTCCGTCCATACGAAAAATATTATCGAATGATTATTATGTTTTATGGTACCCACAGTACAAGTACAAATAACTTACAAGTCTATCCATACTATTCAAGTATTAATAATTTATAGAAATCAGAACGATTATTTCAACATAACTTATGACTGTAAAATTGACGCGGTCCCGCTGTAGTGTCGGTACATTAAGTACACCACTGTCACGGAGCCGCACTCGCTCTCTACCCAGCCACAACCCGGGCAACGACTACACCGTCTCCGATACTACCCACCTACCTCGGAAAACCGGGCAGAGATGGGAAAAGTTATCGGAACCGGTGACAACATACCGACCGATCGGTATCAAGTCACCAACCTTTTGTTCGTGACCGTCGTGGAAGTTTGACCTTTTTTGTTTTCACCACCGTCACCGAAGCACAACACACTCGGCATTCACCTCGTTTTAACCTTGTTTATTTGTTATTTGAGTAATTACAATTTCGCAAATACATTTCTGGTTTTGTTCAACTGCCGACTAATCTTTAATATGTTAATTTGACCGGCTACCCCACCGAGGAACCTCTAGCCACCTGAGGCCGTATCAAAATCTGTAAACCATATTGTTTGTTAGGTGATGACTGATAATACAGCTTTGTAGTACATCTTTGTAAAACCAATAGAAGTAGTAATATTGACGGCTTATATATGTATATAACGAAACACTTGCAGCTTATAGCTATACGTAATTTTCGTTTAGTACTAGTCATTGTAATATAACAGTTCTATTTTTCTAATCGAATACCAAAATGGTATTCAATGGTAATCAATGAACTGACAAAAATTGTTATAAGTTTACTTGGTTCTTTAAACATTACATATTTTACAAGACATACATGATGGTACGTAACACAAAATCAATGTTATTCATGTAATTGAACAATTTCCAAGTTTTTCTATATTTGTTTTTCTTGTTAAACAAACATAAAATATTCTCAAATATTAAACCATGAATTTAAATAAACGATAAAACTGTCAAGAAGTCTTGAGTCATAACTCGTAAGCTTTATTGACATATTTAAAGAATCATATCGTTATAGATCACACCTACGATAGTCGGAACAACTTATTTTTATTATTACGAAAATTTGAGCAACTTTAGACGCGTATTTTATCTGGTAATTTATAACACATGTACAATTTGATTTAAATTTAGTATACAATTTTAAAATTGTTAATTTCTATCTATCATTTTTTTTAACTATTCTTAATGTTAGATACGATATTTTCGTTATTTATATTTTTTAATACACACACACGAACGATTTTCAATACAAATTTAAACTTTATTATCGTGTTTTGAAGTGCTTCAAGTCCTGAACACTGCTTATTATTATTATAATTATACATGTTTACATGAAAAAGTCAGTCGTTACATCTTTTGATCCCTTTAGGGGCGGATTAATGTAAAATCCAGAAATTGTTTTTACATAATATATACAGTATAATATTTTTATTTTTTTTTTTTATTTATTTTTTTTTTAGAACTTTTAGTAAAACTATGATAGTTCGACAATTATAATACGAATATACACAATATTATAAAACATATTATAGGTAATGATTAAAAATAATTAAATGAAAATATACGGAATGTTGTACAAATAAGAATATTAAATCATAATTAGTGAATATATACAAAAAATAATAAGGAAAGATAATGCGTTAATTTATTTGGTTATTAAATAATATTGATCTATTTTATACGGAAAAGAACATAAAAGATAAAATCGATTACATATGCATTAAAGAAAGGAGTAATTTTTACATTCATAAACGTTATAATTTATTTACCTACCAACTATAATATACATATTTGATGTCCGTTATACAACTTTATTTGTTTAAGCACTGATGGATAATTTATTTTAATTTCACCGACAGTTACAAATACAATATAACAGGAGTATCATATTATTTTGACACTACATGCTAAGAATTATCTCATTTTATTCTTCTTTGAGCAGGCCATAAAATATTATAAAAAGATATATTTTTATATGTTTATATTATATATTATAAGAAGAAATTTATTATTAAAGTATTAATAAAAAAAAAAAAAAAGTTATATTGCTTCGATAATTATTTATCATTCTAATGTGCAGGGATCGGAAGTTGTAGCATTAAAAATGTTACTTATTAGCTCTTAAATATGCATTCAAAAACTCTAAAATATGCGCTATAAATAACACGAAAAATCAAAAAATTGGCATTTAACTTGAAAAAAAATGTAATTTTATAATTTGTAGGGCTCATTAGACATAGTCTGGACTGATTGAATTATAAACTTTTAACAAAAATGTTAAATTACTTAAATATATTTGTAAAAATGTACTTCTACCTATTATTAATTTATTTTATATATTTACTTTGGAAATTATCCTAGATTATTAAAATGTTTCATAATCTAATGCAATGATATAATAAGGGAATAACAATGACGTCACTAACTATTAATACATCAAACTGTCGATGAAAACATAAAATAATATTTTATGAGGTCTATTTTATTTCCAATAATTAAAATATTTTTTAAAAACATAACCAAGTAAATACAATTATTATCAACAAAATGTGATTGTTTTCTACATTGTGTGAAAATATACCCGAAAAAAACACTATAAACCTTAAATTAACAAAATAGCAATAAAACTCGTAAATATTCAAAAAATATCAAAATTAAATTTTGTGTATGATACCCGAATAGTGAGAAACATATTTGTATCTTACTTTGGATGTTCTATGATGAAACATAAAAATATGCATTTGCTAAAACATTCGAGCCCTGCTAATGTGATTTATTTCATTGATTTTTTTTATGCTAATTCATTGATATTTGGTTTATAATTAGTAACTT